TTCATATAAACACGAAATTATATATACACAACATGAACACGGACATTATGTTCCGTGCAACGACTAACATACCGGGCCCGTGAAGGAATAGTACCTACTACCTGCATGGTGTATATTTTCGATACATGAAAAAGTTATTAGTTCGATGACTTTTTTATAGATAGGTTATTCCAGGTCCCAATTAGTATTTCTTATAGTAATTTATATTCCATTTTCATATAAAGAATAAAACACTTTCACCACAAATTTTGCGACACGATTGATTCATTTCATATTCAAAAATGGGGGCTCCCGAAGTATGCGAACCAAGATGGCGGACATCGGAATGTAACATGTGTACTAGGTTAGGGCAATGACATTAAACAACATGATGCGCAACTCCGGCATTTTTGTCCGAAGATCGTATTCGATAGCACGCTCCAATGCACATACTTGACGAGACGAAAACGAGCGGATGTGTGCTGCTTTCAAGGCGTAGCACGAATGGTGTTCGTGCCTGCTTTGACAGTTGTTGTCGATTTTAATGATATTTTTGAAAGTTGGGGTAAAAAGAAATCGGTAAAAGGTAAGGTGAATACTATTGTTGTATATCACACCCGGGCATCGCACTGTTAAGTACATGTGGGAAAGCCAGCCTTTGTCAAATACTACGAAGTTATTAATTCAGTACGGCACGTAGTTGCCCATTTGCCGAAATTACATATTTACTTACCCCTTATAGTTTCAAATAGTTCATGCACCTCCAGTTAGATTTTTTTAATCAGTGAGGATATATACTCATTGTTGATTGCTGCTCATTGTAACATACTATTACGCATTCACTTTTATTTGCGTATTGAATCAAAGTGTTAACAAGTTCACCTAACATTTCACTCATACCGGTCTATATTGTATAGTCTGATTTCTCAAGTATTTGGATCCAAGAATGCTTGTAATTTTCTGACTAAACCCTTTTATTAGTTGGTTTATATACCAAATTCAGTAAAATATTTTTTAAATAAAACATGAGATATTGGATTTATTAGCTTTTCCATTCTGAATCATATAGACTGCTTTATTTATTCTTAACGAAAATTAATAAATCCCCTCTCTTTCTTCAGATGTAAAAGTTGTGGACAAACCTGTCTAAGCATTGTGAGACTCTTGCAGCACAAGAGGCAATAGCAGAAATAGTAAGTATATCAATCAAGAAATTAAGCCGACATAAAGCAAAACTTTCAACTATTCGTCTAATCTCAATTTCCTATTATTTATTCACAGGACAACTATAGCAGACGGGGAGATATCCGAAGTCTGGCGACATATCAGTGACAGTGTGATTCCAAGAAATATATTGCAATTGAAAATAGAAAATTGCAATAGGAAAACAACCTATGGAGGCATGCAAAGACATTTGACCCTCCGGTAGAGTTGTGTATGGCCCCCACATCCTGCAGGGCTTGAGGAAAATAACTAAAAATTCCAAAGTGTAAGATTGCATAAGCGGTCTTATTTGTAAAAAGGCACAAAACACGCCAGACATACTTAAAACAGCTTTGGAAATGAGGATTACGGGTACCTCACTGCACCTGTGTTATATTTGGTTCATCAACTTTTGGTAGTACTATAGAAGAAATTCCGGAAGGGGTATAATCATCATTCATGATAAAATACTATCATATATTTTTTGAACAACTTCAATCTAGACCAGGGATCTCAAACTCGCGGCCCTAGAGAACTTCCAGTGCGGCCCTCGAACGCTTAACAATAATTGTAATAGTATTTTTGAATTTTTTTTTTTTTATCTAAATGTAATAGATTTTTCAAACCTTCTAAAGTGAAATTGATTATTCACACAGAAAACAATTTACTGAAAGTAGTTTAGGAATATTAATTTTTTTGTCCACATTTTGACCCAATTAAGAATACACATCAAGCTAGCAAAAGAATACTTGAATAAAACACTTGAGTAATTAAATTAAACGCAAAGTACATGAAGAAGGTGGCATTTTCGAAGAAAATGGGAGTTGTAACATTTCCGCTCTTCACAAAATTCTGAAGCACATTGTTTAATTTGTCATATTTCCGTCAATACAATCAAAAAACACAATAAGCTCAGCAGTCAATATGACAAATTCGAAGACCAACTTCGAACAGAAAATTTCCATGTGTTTGTATATTAATATAATTATACAACGACTTAGTTACTAAAAATCAATAATAATTCAAGCAATCCTATGCCACGCAATGTAGTGCGAAATGTCTTGTCGAAAAAATCTGTCATTTGTTTTTTTACTGATCTATACATGAAATGATAAAAGTAACTTTTCTGCATTACTGGAATTAATTAAACATTCGTAAAGATCCAGATAAACCCATGATCATGTGGCCTCGTTAGTTAGAGTTGGTACTATAAAATCATTTCAGACTGGCCTTAGTATGCTGGTGACACAAAAAAGATGCCAAACGCCAGGACAAATGTAATTATTAAAACATTGAGTTTATACTGTAGTATTTTTGTTAATTTTAGGTTCATATATTTAGATTAAGTTATTTTTAGTGTATGTATTATTCTTTCCTTATTCAAAGCTTCTTCAAAAATGATTTTGATGGTTGTACATAGAATTTTACGATTTTTTATAATAAATACTGTAACTTGCAAATGTTGCAATAATAGTGGAATGCAAATATTAATATGTAATTGCATTTGAAATTGAAGAAAATAATAAAACTTAATATAACTGTTTAGTTGCATCACAATATCGTATGTCACAAACTAAAACTATCTTAAAAATATCTTTTAAGTATACATTATCAAAAACTGTTTGCGGCTCTTTTTACAATTTTCAAAATGCAATGCGGCTCTCGAAAACCCATGAGTTTGACACCACTGATCTATTCTAGACGATTCAAGCATTGCTTTGGGAAATTATATCACTTCAATTAAATTGAAATAATCTCGCTATATTAAATACAAAATCGTTGCTATCGTAAAGGTAAACCAATTCAGCCACTCGAAATATATTGGCCTTCACAAAGCAATGGAGGCAAAATTGAGAGTTCATGAGCTATGAACATTTGTTCTTTTCTTCGTCTTGAACTTTCCATACTCCACAGTCCCTATTAATTTTTTTCTAATTTCAATTACCATGTGATGGTCATACATATCTTTAACTTGTATTTTCTGTCATGATGTATTATCTCAATGTGCCAAACTATTAATTAGTGTGCATATTTTGCTTCCAGATGACATAAATGTATTGTCATGTTTATTACCTCAGCTTGGAGTATTGACAAGAAAAAGGTGCCAGTAAATTAGGTAAAAAAATTTTCAACTCTTTGTTATAATCAGAATTCACAATCAATAGAAATTATAAACAGCCAACAATCAGTGAGAATTATATGCGAAATCCCTCAGAGTAAATTTGTCTAAAATCGGAGGAAGGCAAAAAATATAGGTAGTTTCCATCCACACAAGCATTTCAAGAAGACTTGCTCGAGCCAAACTAAATGAGCATCGTCAGGTGATCGGTAAGGCTGCAAGTTGAATTCAGCCCTGCAACCTCCTGCATAGAAGATAATATTAATTAGTGGGCTATGAGCTAAATTCCTAAATTTAAACAAACCTATCTACGATGCATTATGTACCAGCAATGTTACCTACGATTAACTGAATATGTAATATGTCTAATAAATTCACCTACAAAAGCAAGTTCGATGGGTGCAAACTTTGTGTTATGGAATTGTATCGCAGCACAGTTTTGTATGACACCCTCTTTAAATGAAATTTCAATGATTAAGCGCAAACATTAAAATTACCAACTTTGAACTTTGTCATTATCTGCAAAATGTTCCACACAAATCTTTCCGCTATCGCGTTTGTAATCTTCTCTGATAAAAAAAACGTCTATGATGTCCAGAATTGCTCTTTACAGCTTGCCTGTTACTCCAGCTTTCCAAGTAAGCAAAACTTCTTAGATATAGAGATTATTTTGTTTCGTTACAGGCGCAAAAAGGCAGGTACTACACGTAAAAACGACGCCGAGTAGCAAAAGCGAGCGGAAAACGGACGCGAAAGGCGACGAGAAATATGTGCATTGGAGCGTATCATGAAATACAATGTTTTGCCTGTAGTCTTATGGAGTGACGTCAGAGTTGCCTATCATGTTGTTTAATGTCATTGGTTAGGGTTAGGCGATAATTTTAGGTATGAATACTACGGGAGGCTCTTGGCTAGTCTTCGAACTGATAATAGGACTAGAATAAGGAAAATTGGAAAAAATTATCGCCTAACCCTAACCTGCTAACCATGTTACGTTCCGATGTCCGCCATCTTGGTTCGTATACTTCGGGAGCACCCAAAAATGTTGTCTTATATTTATGTCGACTCAGCCCACTACATACAGAAATGGCGGGAATGGTTTCTTCATCTGCCTTGGTATATTTTTTAATGTGGAGGTGGCGTTCGTCAGCTCTGTTACGGTATTTTTGATTTTTCACGTTCGGTATTAGAATATTTACTCAAAAGCGTTAGAGCGAACCAGTTCAAATGACCACTTAGGATAAAACGAATTCACATAACTTTGGGTAACTTGCAAAAATATCCTGGCCATTTCTGAAATATAGTACCGGTAGCCTACGCCGTACCGGTACTATCCAGGCTGTATACCGGTGCGGCCGAAGTACAGTACCGGCACGGGGTGGCGATTTATTGATTGTCGAGTAAAATTAGGTATTCTAAGATGACGCCAAACCTAAAACCGAATCAATGAATAAATCTATATAGTCTAATGTTACTTGTAAGGTGTAAAAAATGACAGGCTAACTAATCATTCCACAGACAGCAGTACCGGTACTCGAAATACACTGATAAGAAAATGAGATGCCGTGGTTCGCCATATGATTAGACCGTTTTATCGGCTTTCTACTTAGTCTACCCAGGATAAATAATAAAAACCTAGTCATTAATGATTCTCTTCTTGTACTAAAGTTGACATGTATCCACAGCAGATCTAATGGAATAAATACAGAATTAATTGATTTGGAAAAAACATGAAATATCAAATATAGTCTAAGTAAATATCAAATAAGTAAGTAGGTGCTCTATATACTTGATTGTTCCAATGCCAGCTGCTTGAGAGAGTTTGAAGAGAAAATGGATTCTTTCAATTTGGTAAGAGTATTTATGTTACAGTGTTAAGTTTTAGTTAGCAACTCAAAGCTTCATTAAAAGCGTATTATAAGGTTATTATTTTTCATATTCTGATATTTGAATTGAGTAGCTTTCTATTTCACTCAAATTTTCATTGGATGACCAGGAATAAATAGTCTCACCATACTAAACAGTGGGGCTTCGTAAAACCAGTCACTTGCGAATTCTGGCCCCATTTGGGGCCCCTTGATTTTTCTTTTTATGCTTCATTTAGGTTTCTGTTTTATTCGACTATTGAATGATCTTGTGCATTCTTGTATCGCAATAAAGCAATATTTTTTCTAATTTATCATGGCTTAATTAATTTTTCAATAGTAAAAAATGGCACAATTCAGTACCAAATCAGGCACTTGTGGAGCTTCAGGCATTTTGTAAAAACCTATGTCCTAATGCTGTAATGTTTTCAATTACAATGACTAAAACAATGAGAAATAGATTTTTATGAAGGGCCTGATTTTCTGCTTAGGGTTGCCACATTTTACCATTGAAAAATTAATTACACCTTATTAAATTGGCAAGTTCGATTTACTCATACAATCATATATTTTTGTTCCATGCAATATAGAAATGCACAAGATAATTCAAGATAATAAAATCCTAATAAACTACTAAAAAAACCATCATACTGCCTCAAATGGTGCCTAAAAATTGCCTGAATTCAAGAGTGCCTGCTTCCTGGTTTTAGAAACTAAACAGTGTATGTGTCTATTCTACATTTTCATGTTTCCCCCTCAAATTATGCTAGTATTTATATTCAGAGTCTTACAATATTTTCTGTTTAGCTGGAGTCAAAGATAACTCATTTTACATCATATGATGACATCTCTTTTTACCTTGGTTCGAATGTGTCCAACTGTCCACAAAAAATATCGAATAATTTTGTGAAAAACTTCGGTGTTCTGATCGACCAGGTTTGTTTGTTCCTATTTATTATCGAGCTGAAATTTTCAAATTTTAGAGTTCATTCTACAGTTATGCTTCGCTCAATTGAACAACATTGTTTATTTACTTTTAAATGCACTGTACTGTGTCAATACACTAATTTTTTCATTTTATTTTCATTAATTCCATATTTTCGCCATAAACAAGACTAGATAAAAAAGGCCAACTCACAGAAAGAAAAATGTTACCGTATATCCCGGCGAATAAGTCGCTTTTCTAGACCCAAATTTTTGGCCTGATATTGGGGGGTCGTCTTATTAGGCGAGTATGATAATTTTTTTGGTGTCGCGTTATTATTCAATTTGTACCATAAAACACCAAATATCTTTGGAGATAGCATCCCCACGTCCTCATCATTGCCGTGGTATTTTAGATCGGTAATGTTCTTATATGGTAGAAGCAATTGCGAGTTATGTTAAACACAATTAGATTAAATTGGAAGACAGTTTGAATTCTCTGAGTTGTTATGGATTGAATATTACGCTACAAGAAAAGTCATTATGGGCTATTTTGATTAACCAATGCATGGATTGAATATTAGGCTACAAGAAAAATTCATTGTAGGCTATTTTGACCAATACGCAAACACGGCGATTGCTCAAATGTCTCTGCATGGTAATTTGAGATTTCGATGTTGATCCGATTTTACTACCCTCTTATTGGCAGGTTATATGCAAAAACCCATTTTTTCAGGCTTAAAAACGGGCCTTACCGATTAAACTTATTCGCCGGGAAATAGGTATTTTGAAGTGATTTGTTCAATTCTGTACAAAATAGGCTACTTAGATTTTACACTGGTCAAAGTTATGACTAAATCTGTCTGAAAGTCGCTATTTCAAATCAATATCAACACCACTCTAGACGGTCCCAACATTGCATGCCTGCATTTATTGATTTCTTGGTAATCTTCAGATATCGTACTTCATTCATTCATATATGAACCTAGTCCTGAGTGATGATGAATATACTCTCTGATATTTTGTCAAATTCCACGATGATTGTGAGGGGAACTCTGTAATTTATTCATACTATAGTTCTTCATACTATACCTTAATTATTATATACTCTGGGCGAAGTTTGTGGCTAACTTTCTGTGTTTTAACCAGTGTTACCTTACTATAATGATGATGATATGTTTGTTCAATCTCAGGCAATTCGTGACGAGAGCCTTCAAAATGTTGGGGTCATAGTTCAAGTTTTTAATCACCTATTACAACAAAACCAACCCGATACAATTCAAGTTTTAATTTCATGTGGATTTCATGAACAGTTTGGTGAGTTATTCAACATTTCTGTCACAAACTTTTTCTTCCCAATTATCGTTGTAAATACACTAAATTAATAAAGGAGTTTTACTAGGGAATATCAATATAAGACTACTGGATTATACATACACTTCATTCCTGAACTTGAGATCCGTCACCATCTGCCAATAGATTCAACATCCTTATAGATTTTCTCCCCTTCCTGGGAAATATTGAAATCATAGTACATTATGAAAAATAAATTCACGAATTAGTGCCTCAAGTTTTCAACTTGAATTTTTTTATCGATTGGGTTTCTGTGTGACTAACTACTTATCCTCCTTTTACACTTTTGAACACTGGATGGCTGTATGCATATAGTACAAGGATGCTTCAGCACGATTGATGATAGGTATTCTAAGAGGAATCAAGAGTCTTGCAGCAAGGCTCTTGGATGATTTTGAAATTTTTTATTCCACGTTTAATAAACAATGCAATTTTCACTTCTTTTTGAATTTAATTAATCTCAACTTATATCTTGTAAAATTTAGATATTTTTTTTTCAGGTGTTATGCTCGGTTTTGCTTTCTCTCAAGTCAGCTTGAAGAAATTACCAAAACCTGCTGGTGATCAACTTTATCTTACTCTTCTTCGGTTGATTGTGGTGAGTTTGGAACCTCTGTGAGCAATGTTCCCTCTAATTTTTTGTAGTATGTGTGCGCAGAAATTTCGTCGTGTGCGCACTTTTTTTGGAAATGACTAATATTTGTGCAAAAACCAATGAAGAAATTTTGGCGTTCTAACCGGGTAATAAGTGGGCCAACAACAAACTTTCTCAACCTGCCAACCGAGCACATTGTTACATTACATCGAAATATGTCTGTGCGCAGTAAATCTATGCGTGTGCGCAGCCTCTGAAAGCTGTGTGCGCGTGCACACCTTAGAGGGAACACTGTTTGTGAGAATTCTTTACAAAATTGCATATGACCATGCTCACAAAAGCTTATGATATATTTTTTGTCATGTGGTGCAGGGCTACTCAACTATTTTCATTAAAGGGTCGTTTACAAAACTTCAAAATTACTGGGGTGCGCACATTTCAGAAAATTTATTTTATTAAATAAACAAATTAATTATTAAATTAAATACAAGAGCAATGCATGGCTCACAAATATGGACACAGATGTCGCACATTGGTACCAGTACGGCAAACTGTGTAGCCGCATATATGTTAATAGTATCAAAATCATCAAAAACTATAAAACCATGCTTATGCTGCAGACACGGTCCATATTGGATGGTCAAAAGGTTCGGATTCAGACTGTGGCATGTCAGTTGAGTAGCCCTGATATAGTGTTTAAAATTATCTCACGGGATCTCACGGAAGCAAGATTGAATCTGCTCCAGATTTTGCATGTGCATTCATCATATCTCGGACCAGAAGCCTATTCATTTTGGGCGAATTATGTCGTATAATTAGCGAGTTATTAAATAATTAGTGATGGGACATGCAAGATTGAATCTGCTCCAGATTTTGCATGTGCATTCATCATATCTCGGACCAGAAGCCTATTCATTTTGGGCGAATTATGTCGTATAATTAGCGAGTTATTAAATAATCAGTGATGAGACGCAAGTTGTCACTATGGAGTAAGAGCGCTGTTTTGAGGGATCCCCTAACTTTCGATCGATAAATCTTCGGTCTCTGACCGATATTCTATTTTGTATATTTAATAATTAATGTCTGTAGGCCTACTGTAAGATAGCAGTCTGCTGCAGTTACACTTGTTAGAGGTTCATCGCACATTTGTGTCTCAGGCCGGTAAGGTCTTGGACATGTAGTATCCGGTCTCTGTTATAACTTATACTGTTTATTTATTATGAAGATAGCCATTTTTGTGGCAAATAACAAACATATGACAATTCTTACGTTTTTTTCCGTTCAGGATTATTGTAGAAATATGAATGATCATTTCAACTGGTTTTTTCAAAACTTGTTGCAAAAAATTACTTTCATTATATCGGATTGCACAGTGTATTATGTCATCAGGATGCAGGTATATTTTATATATATATATTATTTAATTTATTAAAGATTGAATGTTAAAATTTTTGAAGCAATCTTATTTGGAAATGTTTCAAGAAATAGTTGCTCTGGTATCTGATCATATTTTTGATCATAAATTTATCTAACGTACTTTTTATTTGGAATTTATTCATATATTAAATTTTATTTTAAAAATAAATATTCCAGGTTTGGACTTTTCAGGTTAATAAAGCTCTCGATTTATATTTGAGTTTTTCTTTTATTTGCAAATTAGAGTGAACTATGGTAATTAAGATGTGTTATTATCTTTCATTGCAAATATGAACATATACGGCTTGAATGAACCCCATTTTTTTTCAACAAACATGCAAGAGCACAGGTCGTTTACAACTTTTCTACAACTTCAAAGATGTTTTTCTAAATTGGAAATAATAATTATTTCCTATATGCTTCTCAGACTGCAGAAAAATTTCTTGAAATATTTTCTGATGAAGACAGAGAGGCTGTTGAGTTTTTACGGGATTCTATCGGACAAAATGTGGAGGTTTATGGCCAAATTTGGTGAGTATGTTATGCTGATTTTACAGTGTCATTGGTTTTTACAATGTTTAAATATTGATAATGTTTTCCGATTTGAAGAAATTGAAAAAGATATTCTGAGAATTTCAGTAATGACCACCAACCTTCAGCATATTAAAATTCAATTACAGGGAGTCCTCGAGTTACGACGGTCGCGACTTACGCTGTTTCGAGGTTACGAACGCGCACTCCGTAACGCTGTTTCGAGGTTACGAACGCATTGCATAAAAATATAAAAGATAATACTGTACTGTAATATCTGAGCCCTTAAACTGGATCATTGTGATCAAGAAAATTAGTGCTTTGGGCTCATTGGTTTTTGTCATTTATGATGCAATTGCTAACTATTACGATTATGAACGAATAATCACTAAGCTTCAGTCACGTGGTACACAGTTTCAGTGATACTGCACACCATTTTGGTTGTTCCGACTTACACTGAAATTCGGGTTACACCGCGTCTAAAGAACGGAATAACGTCATAAGTCGAGGACTCCCTGTAATAATGTTCTGACTCACTGCTGTAAGAAATACTCAAGACCGATTCTGTATTCGCCAAGGGTAGGTACAACACACAACTGCTCTTATAGTAGCCCCAGAAACATTTTTATTGCAGTGCTATCAGATTTCCATAAATTTTGTTTTAAGTCATTAAATCTTAATAAATCGAGATATCCTTAGTAAATAGGCCTATACGAATTTTATTGGTCGTTCATACCTTTTCATAAAGATTATTTGTTAATAAGAAAAATTTGTTCAAATCAAGGTAATTTTTTTATTTTGCTTTTCAATGCGCCGTGCTTTGTATTAAAAAAAATGATTGAGTCGGGAAGAGAAAGTCCTTTAATTAGCTTATAGCCCTTCTCTCCTTTTGACAGTTTGAGCACCCATAAACCATAACGGCGGTTAAATTCGCTTCATGTCTGTTTCATGGAGAGAAAAGAGCCTTATCGCATTTCAATCAACAATTACGCATTCTTATTCACATTATCAGCGCCAACTAAAAAGATAACATAGCAAAAGATAACATAACAAGACAAAAAAGTTTGTCGGTGGTAATTGCGCTACAGTGATAACGCACAGAATTATATTGTTTTGACGGCGAAACCATGATGTGCGACCTTCAAAACGACGACTTCATTAAATCCATTTTGAAAAATACAGTTTTTTTCTCTGTACGGTGATCATTTCACTAAGTCTTTAATGAGTTCAGTCTTGAAATATTGTTCGACTGGTAGTTGTACTTACTGTACTAAATGTTTGTGACCTTGAATTAATAAATCCACTTTGAAAAATAACATTTTGTTTCTGTAAGATGATAATTTCAGTAAAATATTATATATAAATCTACTTTGACAAGACTGTCAAACTAACTTAACTTTAATGTTTAATCTTACGACAGTGAGAAGGCATTCAAGAGTTTGCCACATGTAGGAGATTTTCAACTACAAGAATCCATTGTTGAGCTGATATTTCGTATGTGGCCTTCCAATGTGAGGAAAAGTAAAGTCATGAAATGGTGTGAAGGCAATCAGCAGTTGCTGACAAAGTTTCTTGCCATTTCTTATGACAAGTTTGATTATGTAAGTTGTTGTTTTCATTGAGACAGAATAACTGTTTCACTATTTATTATTATACTATGTAATTCAACAGTCTTGCTGCACACTTACACAAATGTATTACAATTTACAATCAAGATTGTTGTAAACAGCTTGTCTGAGGAAGTCTGATTTTAGTCGGACGAAACGTTACAGAAATACATTTGTGTTTTTGTGCAGCAGGACTCATATTATGGTATTTTTATTCCTGCTACAGCATCCTTGCATTATACACATACGGATCAACTAGCGTGAGGGCATTGAGGAAGGATTGGGAGTTAGTCTCATGCAACCTTTACTGATAGTTACTATTTAAAGTTGACTTTTTGCATCGAAATGCTTATTTAATATCATATTTTACAAAGTGAAATGAATTTGGAAAAAAATTTGGAATTTTCAAAACCGATATAAATTGCTGAAAAGATGAATTCATAGCAATAATTATCTGTTGGATATGGAGATATTTCATCATAATCTGCAATGCTGATTGTCGAATTAGTAGTAGCATTGTGCCTAAATCGTTGTCACGGCGATTGGATTATAGTGGAAGTATTATTTTGCGAAGGAGGGCCTGATTCTGAAGGCGTAGTTTAGGAATCTTGCTGTACGCAAGGGTTTCCTAGACTTTCCGTTCATCAAATTGGAAGTTAAAAATAGAATATCCTAATACTTAGTCTATGTACTTCGTCTACATTCTGGGCAAACCCTTGCTCTAGGTAATTGCTTTCTTTAAGAAAATTCATTTATGTATTGTAAGTTTTTTTTTTTCAGGGCGTCCGTATATTCTTGAATGACGTGAATTCATCTAGTGCCAAGAGAAAGTTAGTCCATTTATTTATACTTTTTTCATGAATATTTGTTTATGAATAATAATATTTTGGTTCACTGAATAGAGAAATTTTACTCTACTGCAAATGATGGCAGAAATTTTGTCAGAATTGTCATGAAACAACCACTGTTTAAATCTATTTCAACCAGGACTAGGGAGCTGATTTGTAATCACAGTCGCTCTGGCTCCAGTTCTGTAGTCATAGTTGAAGTTAATTTCCACTCTTTTTCCATTTTTTGCCCTTAGAAATGGACTTCGTCATAAAACAGGCCAATGCAGTTTTGCAGGTTTTCAAATTTCAAAATTAAACTTATTTTTAAATGAATATTAGAAACTGAATTAGGGACCTAAATTATAAGCTGAAAAGGATGGATTCTATTATTGGTATGATTTGAAGAAATATTATATTTTAATTGGGAAAATATTATCAGATGGTTAGGAGCCGGATTCACTGAAAAATATATGGTAGCTTTTACTTCACCTAATATGGTAAGGTTTGCACTAGCTCCAACAAAAGGTTCTAACTCTCTGGATCTCCAGCCCTGATTTTAAACACACATACAGGGTGTCCATAAAGTCGCTTTACAAAACAAGTTAGTTCTCAATATTTCTTTACCAGGTTTGTTGTTTTTGATCAGTAATTGTTTAAATATTTAATTCATTTCATACATCTATGAGAGCCGAAACAATATATGGTATCGATAAATTTCCTTTTAAGACTTTATATATCGATGTATAACATCCTATTTTCATTTCAGGGTTCTCACCTTGAACTACATGGAGTTACAAATCGGAGAGCAAACTCTCGTTCCGTGTAATCAATGGAATAATTGTGTTGATTTTTGTTACGAAAGCAAAGATCTTTCCATGAGATTTCCAGTTGAGGAATCATCAGAACAGCATGTGAGTGTTCCCATTGCACACAAATACTCCAAACCAGTTGTTCTTGAACTTTCATGAAACATGGCCTTTTTCAACAACTCTCAAAACGTGTGGCCCCCTTGCTCTTCATTTAAAAAATTAGCTCCGATTTTAACAGGTTTTCATTGTTTATTTTGTACGCCAAGTCAAATAATAATAAAGATGCGAGTGAAGAAAATAAGAGAATAAATGCATTACAGTCGAAGAGTCATACAAATCATAGTTCATTTACTTCAAATTAATGTACTCATATCGAATTGTTCTTATCGAAGGTCTCTAACTGTGCCACCCAGAGACCTGCTTCCTAACTTGCCATCACCTTTCATTCACTCCATGATGAAGGCTGAGGGCCTAAGAAAAACTGATTTATTGCATTGAAAACCTTGCCGATTCTACTTCTTACCAATCGCCCATGAACAACCTAATGTGTCTATCTATGCGAATGGTACCTAGTGAAAAGAGGACTTTGTTCTTGGCCCTCTAGGGCAGGGGTGCACAACACGGGGCACGCGTGCCAAATTTGGCACGCCATATGTTCAAACGTGGCACGCAAACGATTTTGTGAAAAAAAATGTGTATTCATGATATACATTAATAAAATATCACGTTTATATCAAAATCAGCTGTTGTTCAAGACATTAAATTGTTCCAATCAATAGATATTCGATATTATTATTAAAATTTGTCTGATGTGTGTTTTACGGGACTTAATTTACAATACCAACGGGTAGTGTGGCACGCAACAAGATTATTTGGAAAAATTTGGCACAAGTCTTCATTTGAGTTGTGCACCCCTGCTCCAGGGGGCTTGAGAGCCCAGTCTTAGAAACTGTAAAAGTTTGATATTGTTCATTTTTCCGGAATAATAATAGTAAATCTTGTTTTTGTGTGCGATAACATCATCGAAATTAAAAATTACGCTCGCTTATGGCAGTTATTTTTTCACTTAATTTCAATTCTGCTCAGCTGCGATACCGATACCAGTATGCTACTGTGAGAGATTGCATATCCATACTACTTTGTGTTCATATATTTGAGCATTGGCGATGCTGCATCGCTTTCTTGTTTTGCTTTCTAGCCATATCTTTCTATCTTTTTCACATTCTCTTACAGAAAGGTTCCTGGATCACAGGCTCCATTGAAGCAGCAGATCTGGTTTCGTTCAGAACTTCAGGTAGATTTTTTTGAAAAATGTTTCTGGATAACTAGAGGTTCTAAGCCACTGGTTTTTACTTCTTGTAGTATTAATTAAAAACCAGTCTTAATAAAATTGCTAGATTTTTTTGTGTCACCAAAGTTAATTTGGTACTTCCGTATTAGGTGTACCAGGTTCTGGTTAGGCCATAATTTGATTCCGATTTTCCTTATTTTAGTTCTTTTACGATTTCGAAGACTGTCTGTGTTAGCCAAGTGAATATACTTCTGCTCATAGGTTTCAGTCCCTTTACACAACTTGATGTAAAGTAGACAAAATAAATCAGTTTCCTCCGGTGACCCTACATTTTAACCCATGTGTATATCCGCGGGTTCAATCTATATGCGGGTGCTAAAACCCATGGGTTAGGGTTAGTATGGGTTCAAATATCCGTAAAACAAAAAAAATTTCCATAGGTGCAATAGTATGCAGGTGCAATTGTCATGGGTTCAAATATACGTGGGTTCAAATGTAATGGAACCGTTTCCTTCATATTGGTACACACACTTTTGGAGTGTCGTTAGTGATGATGCGATTTCCTTCTACTGAGTGATAATTTTCATTTCATCTTATAAAGTGAAAGTGTCCATTTTTGCGGGAAAATTTTGTTTTTTTTTGAAGATTTTCCTTGTATGGGCCGCAGAATCTCTGTGCAGCGAAAATGGGCCACTGAAGAGATAAAGTTGAGGACAACTGTTCTAGGCATCATCAGTTTTAGTTCATATTAGCAATATTCATAATTTTATTTTAGAAAACCCCGTAATGAGAAGCATAGACCTTCATATTGAGTTTGAAAGTTTCACTTCACAAGTTTTGAAAGAGTTTGAATTGATGGACGAGCTCGCCACAAACCTGGTCATTCGATTTTATAGAGTTGCGCCCCTGGATGCAAGTCATTTATTGAAATTCACAAGCAGTCTGTTTGGTAGCAAATATGCTTCAATGGTGAGATATTGTTCTATACTTTGCTCTGTCTTTCGATTTTAGTCTAACTGTATATGTGTGGCATGAGGAAACACTCAATTCTTCATTTCATTTTTTATCTGGAAACTCGCTGACGAAGTCTAATTGTATCTCAACTATGTTAGCGACAGAGGCCAAAGATCATTCGGATCCCGCCTAACTCAAGGTGTAACAAATTGGGTAGGAAATGTTGAACCTTCTTTGTTTCTTAAGATTTTTTCTAATTTAATTTTAGAAACAGAAGAGAAAAGGTTTTGTGTCAAGACCTCAAACAATGCTGATTATGAACCAGGTTTGTATGTTGATTACTTTGACTTATTGAGATTAAAAAATATTTGAGTCAACATTTCAACTTGGTTACAGAGACATGGCAAGGCAGAGAAGGTTGAGGTTCCCTCCAGTAGGAAATAAAAAAAGCATTTTTCTGTATCATATATAGCAATTTATTGTAACTTGAAACACTTTTTAGACTCTCTCTTGAAAATCCATGTTTTCTGGCCTCAGACCCGCTAGCTGGTCCAGTCTATCTTAGCCATTAGAAAATTCATGGCCACTGTCTGATTATATTTAATTCTTGATGTTATGGATAATTTAGAATAGTTCAATATAAAAATTATCATTTTAAACAGTTGGAAGTCCCACGATAGGAAAAGCCTTTATTTAATTTCTGATGACTGTAAAAAACAGATTGATTATTACTTATCGATCTTTAGATCGGTTTTGAATGATTTTGAATGTATTATGTCCTATAATTAGCGAGTTATTAATTAATTAGTGATGGGACACGCGGTGTCACTATAGAGTCATGAATCGTATCGCAGTTTCGATCGATAAGTCTTCGGTCTCTGACCAATATTCTTGTATTTAATTCTTGATGTTATGAATAATTTAGAACAGAAAATTATCGTTTTGAACCAGTTGAACAGTCCATGAAAGGAAAAGCTATTATTTAATTTCTGAAGACTGTAAAAAATAGAGAACCAATAGAACATTGTTTATCTCAACTTTTCTGTGTTGGTAAGGCAATATACAAAATCAAAATCTCAGTGCACTTTGGCAACTGGTACATGGTATGATTTGTTCATCTCTCTTCTCTCTCATCAAGCTCTCCTCTACCTTTGTACAAATATGGAAATCCCATCCTATTTTGTTTATCATTTTTTGTCTCACATTCAACATTGGCTTATTGATAATATTTTTGAATATATGTTTTTTCGGTGCTCCAGTAGTATGTGAACTAAGATTGTGAACACTGGAATGTAGTATGTGTATCAGGTTAGGGTTAGGACATAATTTTGGGTACAAATAGCCTACTACGGGAGTCACTTGGCTAGTCCCCGAACTCTTAATAGAACTAAAATAAGAAAACTGGAATCACATTATGTCCTAACCTGGTACACATATTATGTTCTGGTGTCCACCATCTTGGTTCACAGGCTACATGAGTCCCGTTTATTCAACTCAACAGTATAACTATAAATAGCATATCGAATATGATTTCATCGATTAAATTTTTTCAATTCGTAACATCTGAAATTCCATTCAGGATCACAGCCAACATTCTGATCACAATACAAGCAGAAACAATACATCGTTCATTAATATGCCTGAAGCTAATGGCTCTTTGCCTTCCTCTCAGGTAAGGATTTTTATTTATCAGTTATTTCGCCATATCAAGGCTAGCAGGTCACTGATTTACAGGAGCTACTATTCTTTTGAAATATTGCTAATCTTTTCAGTTTATTCTCTACCCTACCCAATGTATTACATGCTGTTTGAAGTGGTTAACTGATGACATTGATAGATACAAACCGAACAATGTTGCATTCTGCTATTTGCTTAATAATAACAGCCACATTTACTTATATAATATTGTGACAATACTGATAACATACGAGTATAATAGAGAATTTTTTTGGTTACAATTTTCACCCTTAAGGAGCTTGAGCTTGAATTACTTGTAGAATATTTTCCGGTAGAAATAAATTTCAACCAAAATTTTTTTTTGTAGAAGATGAGTCGAACTGCGTCTGTGAAAAATTCTCAGAAACTCAGTCAATCTGTTGCAAGAGGTGAAATCCACAGACCTACGCAAGATATTGTTGTAAGTTACAAATGTTGTTCAGGATGACCCACGAAAAGACCATAAATTTCCTAATTACTTCTATGAAAATGAAGAAAATTCATTTAAAATCTGAACTTCTGTTTTGTATTATTGTACCCACAAGTTTCAGTAATTTACAACTCTTTGCACAAAAGCTATCTTCTCTCTAAAATTATTTCGAATTGTTGTGGGTTCTGCTTTATGATTCACCCTGTATGTACTACTTTGGGATTCGATTTAAATATTTTTACAGCATGAGATACAGGGATAATGTACAAGATATGTATCTGATATACCGTAATCATGCAAGATTAGTCAAATCTCTACAAAAAGTTAAAAATTATTCTAATTAAACCATTTTGAATTTATCACATATTGCTCTGGTCGTCTCGGACTTAGAATTGATGCTTTTTCTCTTTACATGTAGTTCCAATATATAACTTGAAAAATATATTCTTGCTTTTACAGCCAAGCAGTCAACCAAGACGCCAAACATCTATTTCTGGTGAGTAGCTTTCAGAAGAGACATCCTAAACCAATTGATTAAAAATTATTTATATTCTGTACTTAAATTTGAAAAGATACAGAATGGTTTTTCAACCTAGATGCTCAGGTGGGTGTCTTTCACTGGACGCCGTACCGTACTCTGTGCGGCCACATCTTTGAAATGTCGTTCCCATGGTTACATTACTGACGGTGCTCGGAGTCTAGTGTTGTACGTATTTGGTTTGACTCTTGCTGTCTTTTTTTCTTCATGATATAATGTTTGACTTCTTTCTTCTGTTTATATTTCTGTTAGACTAATTCACGGGTGTCGCTGCTCGTTAGCCAGTTTTGGTTTCTCGCGCCGTATGAAATGCCGTATTTAAATTCCTTTAATATATTTATTTGCATGAAGTGTTTTTTTCTGTTTGGTGAAAAAATAAATTACTGATTGCTGATTACTGACGCCCAAAAGGAATAAATTGAAATCGTTTATATTCTGTCTTATAAATTCCAGAAAAATGATCTAAAATAGTAACAAATCATAAGCAAGTATATGACCAAGTTGAAGCCTCTCAAATTTCAATTCAAAATAGCATCTTCTTACCTATTATTATATATCAGTGGCTGTCTTGCCAGTACCCATTTTTAGAGCGAATTACCCGATGTGTGAAAAAAAATTGCTTGTTTTTGCATTTATTAGATAACACACAACAAGCTTCTCAGCAGAGGAAATTGTCAAATTCTTCCAGACAAATGCTTGCTCAGGTAAATTATTCGTTAATAATTCAGTGTTAGCTCCCTCTGGAGTAGGCTTTGAGATTTTGATATTTATATCGGGAGGAAAATTTTGAATTCCCTGAAGTTGAAATGAGAACTATTGTGATAAAATAAGTCAAAATCTTTGAGTAAATCTCCTGAAAGGTTCTTATTAACAGTCCATTAAATAAGTTGTCACTGTAATCGACTTCAGCATTTTTACAACCCAGAGTCAAAGGTCAGAATTTTTCCAAGGTCCAGGATTTTCTTTGGCCCAGACTCCACAGAGTCGAAATTCGAAGTCAATTGTAAATTTCATCAGACCCAGGAACTTTTAAAAGTGGTTTCTGAAATATTTAATTGTCAAGTTAGACCATATAATCTAGCGCAGTGGTTCTCAACCTTTTATCTTTCGTGGCCCACTTTCGTTGCATAAAAATTCGGTGGCCCACTAACTTTCTCATGCAAGGAAAAAACTACAAGGAAAACAAGAGTCTGTTTGCAAAAAAAAATACTTTCACTTTGAGAATTAGAATGAAAAGCAGTAGCATCATTCATTTCTACTATCATAAAAATTTGACTATAATGACACAAATGAAACTAAACTTTTCAATAACTATAGTAATTTTTAATAGACTTGTGGCCCACTTGAAAATGTCTCTATGGCCCAGCAATGGGCCATGGCCCACTGGTTGAGAACCAGTGAGCTAGCGGGCACATGGGTTTTCAAGAGTCTGGAGGGTCTGAAAAACGCTTCAAGCTGTGAAAAGTTGCTATGAATGTTACAGCGTCTCGTCTCCTCTTGCTGACATTAGCAGCTTTGAGTTTCTTTACTAGTATACAGTCCAAAGATTATGCCCGCTACCTTCTCTTTGCCGTTGAAATGATTCTTTCGGTATAGACTTGGGTGACTGATATGCATAGCGACTGCATTCGAGCTCTCCCTGTGTTGAGGTCAAGTGAGTTTGGGCGATTTTGAACATTACGTCTACTGTCGTCTGTGGAAACTGGGCATCTGTCATTTGAAATTGATATGGGTACCTTTTTTAACAATTTAAACCTATTTATTGCATATTTCTAGTAAAGTCGACAAAGATCCAAACGATAGGAAATTATATAATAATTGCAAATTGTACGCATAAATGTCCTAATCAAACAGCAATAAATGTCTGAAGCAATAACCAAAGTAACACTTTCAGACATAAGCAACACCAACTGAGCTGTGCACCAGACTACTCAGTGCACATGGCCACATCATCTTCACAGGTGGTTGGTCATGATCAGTCACCTGCAACTGATGACATCAATGGTCATGCTCAACCATCTGGGAAAATGCTAGTTGCCAGAAATACTGTTAATAACAATGAATTTTACAGAAAAAATTACTTTAAAAATGAATGATACAGGTTGGGCTCAACCTGGGTTGGTTACGCCCCATCTCCTCTGATCAGACTCGCCAGCACTTTCCTAAACTTTGTGAACATTTTCTCTGTGAAGCAGCAAATAATCAATAATTGATGCATTAACCCAATACTACAGGGGTCTCAAAGATGCCATGGAGCGTCAAAGCCATCAAGTGCTTGCATTATGAACAAAGTTCCAATTATATCATTGCGAGATTTGTGTGAGACTCCGGTAACTTCCAGAAAACCTCATCAAGGATCTATCTCTTCTCAAGTAATGAGAGAAAACAAAATGATGAATTATCTGGCTATGCATGCTGTGACTAGTGGAAGGTTAGTAGCGTAGTACAGGGCTACTCAACTATTTTTCCCAAAGATCCATATATAAATTTAAAAATTACTAGGATTTGGGAATATGTTTCACAGAGCGCCTAATCATAGTTTCAGTGCAGTGGTTTCCAAACCGAGGCCTGTGTAGGCCTATTGATATAATATAGCCCGCCGAACTTAAGTGAAAAAGTTTAACACTTTACCTTTTTGCATTCTAGATATAGTCATTTGTAATATTATTATCACAGTTTGAGCATTTGTATATTCTTAACCATCAATCATACCGGTATTTTAATTATACGTACTGGTACTAAAATCTCGCCACTTGCTGGTGCTCTTTCGACCTGGGAATGTCCTTGCTCTTTTAATTTTGGTCTTTTGGGTAAGTGCCTCTAACTTTGAGTTTATAGAGTTAACAGATATCGTTTCATGAAAAACCGGAAAATCACGAAAAATCAGCATCCTGAACACGCACACACATTCCCTGGCCAGTGATTATTCCATTTCCATCATGGTCAAATGCAAAAAGATTAAACGATAAAAAATAAAAATAAAAAGAATTAAAAAGGAAAAAGAAGAATTGAATTGAAAAGGAAACCACGTATTCGAAGTTAATCCAGATCGTATCGCCAAAGTCAAGAAGCTGTTGTGGCTCAATTTGAATACCCAAATGATCTGGATTCGATAATTTCTTTATTCCTCCTTCACTGTTCCCTTCAACTGTTCGTTCATAAGATTATGTCCCCGTTATTTAGTCGATCTTCCTTGGAATCTTATCTAGTGTTTGTTACTCATGTCTCCTTGGTTAAGCATAGTTCAATGGTTTATAGTGTGTGCGAAATTATTTCTTACAATAATACTAAAAACATTAAACTTTGTTAGTGAGACTACACCTAATACAAAGTATTATTCACCCCCAAAAAAACGAAAACAAAAAAATATTTTGGGGAGGAATTCCTGTAGTTTCATTTACTCCCCAAATACAAAAAATTGTTGAGTTTCTACTCTTTAGCTCTAAAAAATATCTAATAAAATAAATTCAAATCTTATCTATTCTAGAAAAAGCACAGACACTTTTGGAATTTCCCATGACAACACTTCACAAACAACTAGATCTGGCGGCGCTTCACGTCAAGAAGCCATGAGTCATGTTGCATCACAAAGAATGGGGTTATCGAAATCAATTAGTAATTCTAATCAAACGATGAGTCGAGCTTCGTTGCAAAAATCTGATCCAGCAATTTCAAGATCAAAAAGCTCTGTTGCATCACAAAGAGTGGGTTCTGTTTCAGAAGCATCAAGTCATGCTATGTCACAAAAAGTTGAGTCAGCACGATCAGTGACTTATTCAGCCTCTTCTATGATACGGAATTTGCCAAAATCAAACAAGTCAACCGTGAAAAAGTCAGAATCGAAGCATGATCCTGCAGCAGGGAGTTATGGTGGCAACAGCAGTGACGAGTTCAAGAATTCTTCCAAAAATAAAAAGCAAAGACCAATCTGTGAAATAGTCAAAGGTGAGTCACCGTTAGTGCTACCATAGGACCTTTTTTAGCAAAATGAAGCAAATAACATGTCTAATTTTGAAAATAGGACTGGTGGAAGAATTATTCATACTGGCTGCATGGCCTTTGACCCACAACCATCGCTACCTCTATATAACTGTATATTTGAATAATGAATGTCAATGAACAAAGTATGGACCTCCTGAAGTATTGGGCACCAAGATGGCGCACAACCTGAACTCAGGTTGTGTACCAGGTTAGGGTTCAGGTCGTGCGACATCTTGGTGCGCATACTTCAGGAGTACCCGAAGTATATTATTAACATCAACAAAAATATAGCCTCATATCTAGCACTCAACTTATAAAGAGGATATAGTTGGCTGAGCATGGTTCACCATCAGTCACTAGTATCTGATGACCTCAAGTACAACTGCTCATGCTGAGCCTTTTTGGAGAACAATACAGATGCCAGAAATATGAATAACATTATAAACGAACCAACCCAATGATCTGATTCTTTCGAGCTTCTATTTGGACCGAATTTTCTGGCATCTCTCCTTTCATTTTAACACTCTTAGATTGAGCATTTCTAAATACAATATAATTTTTAGAAGCCGGGAACACTAGTGTTGAGTGGAAGGACATTGTTCCAGAGACTCAGGCTGTTTTAAACAATTCTACTCTCAATCCACTTGATGTTGATGCAAACATCTCCACTGATTTGATGCTTTCTTGTCTGCATGGAGAAGGTCAGTCTAACTGTGTATTGGGTTGTTGTTAATAGGAGATTTATTTAACATGTTTTTTTGTTATGGTATATTCTTGCCTTGACTCTGAACTAGGCTCTGGACAAGAAGTCAGGATCAATGCTCTAATCACTACGCTGGCGGCTCCCAAATATTGTGTCGAAAATTAACAGAAGTGTGTTAAACATAACTAATATATGATTGAATATTCACATATTGTACATATTATAAATGTTTTATTGTTTTTGCTTGAAATGTGGTGTATATGGATTCTGCAAACTTAAAGTATAAGCCATAAAAGACAAATTAACAATCACAAAATTGAGTTTTATTTAAAGGCAGCAATTTTTTTTCATGTGAGTGTGCCATTAGTTTTTTCCTGATGAATAAAAAAGTAAGCACTAGGCCATTTTGTATACAAATTTAATAACCAAAATTCATCAAAGCTCCAGTTGCCTTGTGGTTTCCTGAACGTTTTTTTCATAGCTAAACAACTGTCTTGTAAATTGTCGGCCCTGTTGAAATACACAATAATATGTGCTGCATTGGCAGTTTCGTTAAGAATTTTATGAGATGTTTGTTTTCTCATTTCTAATTTTATTTCCTCATGATTGTTATTTCATTTATGCGATTTAGAACCTCGAAAATCACCTCCAAAACCTGCCAAATCTTCTGAAAAATCAAAGACGAAAACAACATCTTCTAAGATGGTTTATGTTGATATTCATAGGAAAGTTATGAAAAATTCATCGAAAACTTCACAGAAATGTAAGTGTTTTAAGATATGTTCGATACAGGAAAATGTTTTTTTTTTCACATTTCAAATAGGGGCAGGGTCCGACCCTCAAACCCTAAATATTTCTCTCTAACATTATATTTTATTTTTAGTGAATGACTATTTCATTTTATATTTTTTTTTAGTGAATGACAGCATTTCTCCTGAATTCCCATCTCAAGTTCTATCTGCTGTCATCACAAATCAAAGCCAAAATGCAAATTTAAAAAAGGTAATATCGTTTTTTATATCTAAAAGCGGAATCCCTATTGGGATTTAGGAGATATAGTTTCTTATAGAATCGGTTAAAAGCACAAAGTTATGACGTAGAGGTGTCTCTTGGTGTGGTTCATGTCTTATGCAGAGTCTTGCTTGGAGTGTTTCAAGCATCTAGATTTCTATTTCAAGTTCTCTACTGTTGTCGATAATCAAATTATATCTGAGAGTTAGGATTTGGCAGATATAGTGGATATAGAACCAGGCAGAAGCAGAAAAATCCAGATCCATACACCGTGCTTACAACCTTGTTCAGACTCTAATTAACAGGATGGGCAAACCCAAACAGGAAGTTTTCAGTCTTTCTGACAATGCCCTCTCACTCTTGAGATGGCATGTTGTTCATTTGCTAGTATTGGAGCAAACATGGCCATTTTTCTATGAGGTGGTGAAGGACTTGCAAAGGATACTGATATCATAGAGGATTTTGCTGATAACTGGTGATAAATACCCTGTCTTGGGGTATTCGAAATTATCCACACCAAGACATACAATTTCTCATGGAATTTCTTTTTTTATTTATTTTTGCAGAAAAATGCTTCATCTGATATTGCTACTATTCCTGAAGATACAAGTGATGAGCAGAACAAAATTGACTCTCATAAAAATATTGAAAAATCTTCACTGCCAGATGTCAATGTTCAAAACTCATCTTCTGTAAATAAAGGAAAGAAATCACAAGCTGCTTCAAAAGTCAACACTGAATTTAAGGTGAAAAACGAGTTCTACATTGCTAATGTTGATGCCAGATTTCAGCTATTGATAAACCATTGATTGATAGGCTATTTATAATGGGCAATTGCATGGTATTCTTATTGAGGATTTAGCAAGCTTTTGGTCAAGTAGCCACTTACTATTTTAGAAGGGTACTCCCGTAGTATGTGTACCAGGTTAGGGTTAGGCCATAATTTTATTCCGATTTTTCTTATTTTGATTTTATTACGAGTTTAAGACTGTTTGTGTTAGCCAAGTGAATATACCCCCTGCCCATAGGTTTCAGTCTTTTTACACAACTTGATGAAGAGTAGACAAACAAAATTAGTTACCTGGATATTGATACACACACTTCTGAAGCGCCTTTAGAAGATATGAAATGTTTCCTGTTCAAAACAACATACGATTTAGGTCATCTCTGGTGGAATGGTGGTGTGGTGATCTTCACTTGAAAATGTTTTGTAGGACAACTTGTTGTGAGGATGTAGGTTTTTGGAGAAATTTTTGAGAGACATCATTGCAGATGAAATTGAAATATTATAGAATGTAATATTACAGCTGCAGCAAGCTGCACTCTCACTAAATGTTTATTCAATCATTAATTTATTTATCAAAGTGTCATATATACATTTATTTATTGAACAGCATTTGCAGAAAGAGTTTTCAGACAAAGAGAATATTCGGTTTGATTCTCTACTAAAGGAAAAGAAAGCCAATGTATGTTATTCAATAGTAATACCTTAGTCTAGAAGTCTCTGCATTTTGCCAAATATCAATAGATTTCTTGAGAAATTATTACTTATCTGCTCTTGTTTAGATCTGGACATAAAATGATTGAGTCTGTTTAAATTAGCATTGAGATATACTTTCCCCTAGTGCCCTTGTAAGAGTAGGTTGATTGGACACTTAGTGGACATAACGATCGTTTCGTTATTGTGTTGTTCTTGTTCTTTGACACATTTTGAAGAAACCTCTTTTCTCTTTGATTACTGGACCAATTGCTTTGAAATTTTCAGAAGTCAAAGATTTTCTTCAGAGGGCTATTACTTTTATTTTTGCTATGACGTCATCAAAATGATATGGCGCTACGTGTCCATATATTTGAGCATAGCTCACTTGTTATACATAGACCAGTATTTCCAGTGCTCAAGTGATAGAAGCTCTATCAGTGTAGATTGAAAAGTCAGTTTCGGGAATGAACCATTTGCTATCTGTACCTGCATCTGGTTTGATGTGAGATGAGCGTTATATTTTCAAACTTTACGCTCAAGTGATAGAATCATTGATTTGCTTTACTTTTATACCTGGTCTCGTACATGGGTATGAGGCCTTGTTTTTACATTAGTTCAATATTATTGGTAGGTTGGATACTCTAGGGTTGCCATACCGTCCGGAAAATTCCAGACATGTCCGGAATTTAGGGTTAAATTTTGCGTTCGGAAAGAATTTAAAAAATGCTCAAATGTTCGGAATCCGGAATTTTACTGCATCTGCAATCGTACTATGCACACTGCTAATACAGAACATTGTTATTGTTATTTCGTACCATGCTCATATTTTTTACTATGAGGTCATGAAAATAGTCATGCACTGTCCGGGATTTTGCGTTTTCAAATATGGTGACCCTAGTATAGACTAGTATCAGTTTTAGGCTCAAGTGACAGATGTTTTACTTCTGTAGACTGACAAAATCTAAATGTATGGGTTTGGAATGATTAGGCAGCGTTAAGCCATCATATCAAATTTTCTCTCACTATTATAAATTTTCCAATACTTCTAATGTAGGAAAAGAAAGCTTGGGAAAACGTTGTTGGAAAACAGAACAAGAGAAAGAGTGGTAGATTATTATCAGCTAAGAAAAAGAAAAGGTCGCTCATTAATACTGAGATATCGGAGGTGATTTATTTATCGCAATTTTGCTTTCTATTGTTTCTGAGTAAATTCGGAACGACAGGATTCTATTTAGAGTTGAAGTGCTTTGATTAATATTCAACCTAATAGTTGAGGCATTGTGTTAGCTTCTAAGAAACGTTCAGATCAACCAGTGTGAATTGAAAGGTTTGAATTATTTATGACAATTTTTCTATAAAGATTTTGTGATAAAATTTGAGGAAAAGGGTTTTATTTCGTGTTTTAGTTATGTAGTTAATTTGCAACTTGGTTGGTGACTTGTGCTAAATATGGAGGATTGAGAAATGCTAGCACTAACCTGTGTGGAGCCAAAGGTTTGAAACCTAATAGTTATAATTATGTGTGAAAAGATTGCTGGTCCACATAGCCTCTTATCACTTATCGATCTTGATCGGTAGGTATGTTGGCAAGTATTTTTTTGTAAGGCCCTTTCATATGTTTCTTGATATCTCACGAAAGCGAAGTTGAATCTGCTCCAAATTTTGCATGTGCATTCAAAATATCCCGGACCAAAAGTCTATTGATTTTGGATGAATTAAATTGTGTAATTTGCGAGTTAATAATTAATTAGTGATGGGACACATGGTGTCGCTATTGTGTCAGAGCAAAGGTTTCTGTTTTGTAGGATCCGCAAACTTTTTTTTTTTTGAACATGCGGAATATCGATAAGTTTGCGTTTTTAAATCGCTATCTCGCTTGTTTAGTTAAGATCTCCAACATAAACGATTAAGTTGTTCAATTAGCCCTCTCTCTCTCCCTTAAGATTAAAATTTTCCTACCTGTATGCAATATGCTCATATATATATATATATATATATATAATGAAATTTGGTCTGTTAAATTGACTGTACTTCATCAAAAAATTTTCACAAATATTATTTTATTAATCCAGTGACCCAAAAACATTGCTTTCTTATCAGCAAAACCAATTTCATGAGCAAAGCTATTGATGATCGTGAAACACATTTTTAAATACTGTTACATAGAAACTTTGATCAAAAAATTTCTTCGAGTACTCCTAATAAATGGCAGAATAATTTTCCTATTTCAGCCTTTAGAAGACTTGAGTTTAAATGACCCGATGCTGCCAGACTTGAATGATGATGTACTGAAGTCAGTTAAAAAGATGCCATATGCTGCTAAGTTCATAAAAGTAAGAATGATATATCTAGTTTTATGTCTTAGTATCAGGCGCTCCAGAAGTATGTGTACTAATATGAAGGTAACTTATGTAACTAATTTTGTTCGGCTACCTCACATCAAATTAGCCTATGGCCAGGGGGTATATTTACTCGGCTAACACAGACAATCCTCGAACTCATAATAGAACTAAAAATCGAAATAAAATTATGGCCTAACCCTAACTACACTGGCTCGATTCACCATTCATGAAAAACTTAAAATAAATTTGACTCCTTATAAAATGACTTGGGCTCATCATCAGCTGATTCCAGTGGGACTTAACTAGACTTCAGATTCGCGGCTTGAAATTTCAGTACTTTTAATGACTTCAGTGGCATTTAAGAGATTGCTGTAACTTGCTTAGAGTTGAGTCCACTATTCTTCAAATCAGATGTACGTTGCCTTGCTTAGCTACCTCCTGAAATTTTTCAGTTCGGACGGTGAATACCGCGCTAGGCAGTGTTTACTTTCGAGATTTCCAGCTTACAATGCCAACATAGGGCCTGATGTCTTCACTATTGCTGTCTACAATAAATCAGCCATCCAGCCATCAAAAAACTATTTTTAGACTCCAATTGACAATGAAAAGAAGGTAAACAGAGGAAAGAGAACAAGGACCAGAGATAATAATATAGTGAGTTGATTAAGTGTTGCCACTAGGGCTGTCCAAGCGAACCAAATATTCGAAATCGAATCGAATCGCAAATTATTCGAATCGTTTTTCGGCTAATTTTCGAATCGCTAAAATTAGGTACGGGTATATAAAGCGGAAACCACCTTTACCAGATGTTTTTCATCGGGCAAGCGGCAGCGCTCCGAGCTCAGACCACTCTCGCTCCTGGCTTAATTGGTTTCCCGATATTTCTCTCGCCTTCATTTTGTGATAAACATGTCATTACTAATGCCCGCCCGGTGGCACGTGATTAGCCATTTCATGTATGGTCATCATAACAAGGTATAATCGGTCATGACGATTTTGAGAGAGAAAAAGGAGACAATTTAGAAAACGATAGTTCTATAAATAGAATCGATTTGAAGCTGTCGAGTTAGTTATCATAGGAACATGGTACAGGCAACTCAAAGCTGAAACAGGTGTTTTGGGATCCTTATGATGGCAATACCTTCTTTGAATGGAATTTGTAATTTCTTATGATGGCATTACTATATTATCCATCTACATACCAAGACAAATAATTGCACTCTTGCATTTTGATGGCTGTTGTACACTAACAATTTTATAGTCATCAAATAATATTGTCATCAAACTAGCTTGGAATTTTTAAATGCAATTTTGAACTTGAGCAACAGTTTTATCTATATTGATGGTTGTTATTATTTTGCTGAAATTGACACAAAAGAACATAAGACTAGTGAATAGGATTAAAATAGCATTTACAGGCTTTACATGTCCTATTAAAACTGAATCCATCAAAATTGAGATTGCAATTTTTGAATAGTGCAATTTTTACTATTAATAACACTCAACAGAATTTTGGAGTTCTCCAATTTTTTTGACCAGTTCATACAAGCGTGTGATCTCCTTTCATAAATCTGAAAACATTGTATTGCAAAATACCAGCAGTAAGTAAGATGTAACTGCACATACGTTACCACAACATCGAAGGGCAGCATTTATTGTATAATAGAGACAGATTTAATATTGCGCAATAATATTCGATTATTCGGTTCGATTCGGCGAAAATATTCGATTCGATTCGAATCAAAAAATTATTCGATTTTGGACAGCCCTAGTTGCCACAGTGTCACCATAATTAGCATTCTCATTTTGTTCAGAACATTTAAACAAATTGTCATTTTGATAGAAATGATTTCTGTTAGCTTATGTTAGAAGCTTCCAAAATAGGATTTACCCTGGTTAAAACTATCAACGGTAAGTAACACATATTTATCCAAGAGTATGCTTCTGATGTAGCTATCCCTTACTTGAACTTTTGTTCAAAGCTGTAAATATTGTTTAATGAATGTAACTTTTTACGTCACACTTACATGCTCCTCCAGTATAAATGGGTAGAATTTTTGGCCCTTTGTCCTTGCCAACTCCTGCTCTACTATTTTGTGCAATTTGAATAGTTTATAATGTGTCCATATTATTGCAAGTATTACAATGGTATTAAATAGTAAAAAGTAACAACGAAACTAATACTGCACACTACCACAAAGTCAAGTTCCTTCCTGGTTGGGAAACTCTGCACTATGCGACCCCGCGGCTTCATATATTAACTTTGCATTTACAGCCAACAGTTGTTGAAATCTACAAAACTGAATCGGAATTAGAAACTGGGGAGACCACAACAACTGAGCAAAGCGGCCGAGATCAGAAGGTTGTGAGGCATTTTATTTGGCGAAACTACAATAAGCAACCGTTGTATGAACTATAAGGCTAAAAACAGACAATCCAAATTTTAATAACTAAGAGTCTAAAGAGATTTTACAAGAAAATTCGTTCAAAGCAAGGCGATATACGATCACTTAGAAATATAGGAGGTTGATCTCAAGGCAAAGTTACGGAACGTCGCTAAATTGCCAAGGGCCACTGTGACTGTAAATCTTTATAGTGTAGAATTTTGCGTTTAGTTAATACCACTCGAAGCAAGACCCAAATTAGTCCATGTCAGTACAAACATGAAAACAGCAATGCGCTAGTGAATTCTACATAAAACTTTAAACCATATAAGTAGTAAACTAGATAGAAATTTATGTAGTCATTTAGTTTTTGTATCAACTGGGCTATTCATCACTAATATTTAGTAAAAAAAACGACACGTTTTAAAAACACTATAAATATTGTTTAATGAATGTAACTTTTTACGTCACACTTACATTCTCCTCCAGTATAAATGGGTAGAATTTTTGGCCCTTGGTCCTTGCCAACTCCTGCTCTACTATTTTGTGCAATTTGAATAGTTTATAATGTCTCCATATTAATGCAAGTATTACAATGGTATTAAATAGTAGAGAGTAACAAGGAAACTAATACTGCACACAACCACAAAGTCAAGTCCCTTCCTGGTTGGGAAACTCTGCACTATGCGACCCCGCGGCTTCATATATTTACTTTGCATTTACAGCCAACAAATGTTGAAATCTACAAAACCGAATCGGAATTAGAAACTGGGGAGACCACAACAACTGAGCAGAGTGGCGGAGATCAGAAGGTTGTGAGGCATTTTATTTGAGGAAACTACAATAAGCAACTGTTGTATGAACTATAAGGCTAAAAATAGACAATCCAAATTTTAATAACTAAGAGTCTAAAGAGATTTTACAAGAAAATTCGTTCAAAGCAAGGCGATATACACTCACTTAGAAATATAGGAGGTTGATCTCAAGGCAAATTTACGGAAGGTCGCTAAATTGCCAAGGGCCACTGTGACTGTAAATCTTTATAGTGTGGAATTTTGCGTTTAGTTAATACCGCTCGACGCAAGACCCAAATTAGTCCATGTCAGTACAAACATGAAAACAGCAATGTGCTAGTACATTCTACATAACACTTTAAACCATATAAGTAGTAAACTAGATAGAAATTTATGTAGTCATTAAGTTTTTGTATCAACTGGTTATTCATCACTGATATTTTTTTTTTAAAAAAAAATAATTTTTACAGTCTGGAGATTCAACTGAACAGACTGATTCAACTTCTCGATATGCTCTGAAAAGGTTGAATGTGGATCCAAGACCTGGTGGTTTAGAGAAAGCAAGACAGGAGAATGGTAATTATCATTTTCTGATTGTTTTCGAATTGAATTTATTCAAGATGATGCATTGAAAGCAAAGTAAAGTGCATTCTAGACTTGCTGTCTTGTAGTCTCATTACATGGTAAGATCAAATTGATTTTCTCTAGTTCATTCATTTGTATTGTGCTAACAATGATTCTCATTTCCAAAACTTTAAAACATTTCATTACCATCTTAGTCCAGTTTTCTAATTTGTCTTGTGTACCGTAATTATTTTGTACCATGACTGAATTCATAATAAATTTTCATTTATATATCTTTGGATATTCACACATAGCAAGCGGTTCAGTCCTCTCAATCATTTCAATCATCATCATTTCAATCATTTTGAGTATAACTTTAGGTTTTATTTTCAGGAAAATTTATAAAAATTTGAGATGCTTTTCTTTTACCTGGATAAATGCGAAAGGCCTTACTCGTTACAATACAAAAGTGCTAAACCATATGTGTTTCGACATGCACATATCATAGATACATAGCAGTATAGTTCTCCCGATTATTCCAGCAGGTCATTGAGTATGAGCTTTTTACTTTTTTTTACCTGATACTTAGGTCTATCCTCAAAATTGTCTTCCGTGAAAAATACTTATACTATTATGTCACTCCTCTATACACAGAATCAGAAAAACTTCTGAAACAAGAAATACAACTGGACAGACATACTAGAGCAAAAAAACAGAAAGAACTGGAACTTCCTTTTGCTGAAATAGAAGAGATTCCTGTGATTGAGGAAAGTTTGGATGAGATTCAGCCTATCGAAACTGTCAGAGATGCTCCAACTTGTATGGACGAGGTAAGTTTAAAATTTTCCCTCAAGTTTGTGATTAATTTTTGAATTAATTCCACTCATTTTTGGGAATTGTTTTTGGATAATTTGGATGTATATTCATGATGATATTGAAATTAACGTCTTTAATCGGCATCCGTTGAAATGCATTACCACAATTCTATATAGTTTTGGTAGGGCTAGACACTTCAGTGATATCCATAACTTAGCTCGGAGACGATGCTCATTTTGAGTGGGTGCGCATGAGATTACTTTGAGCAAAGACTAGTGATTCTAATTGTCCTAATTTTTGGGAAATTTTTTATGCCGCCAGTTGGAGCTCTACAGCTTAGCTCATCTTATGTATATCAATAAGGTATACAAATCAGAACTGTAGATATTTCAGTTCTACTTAAAATAGCAGTCAATGTTGGACACGTAGTGGACATAGCGATCGTTTCAATATTATGTTGTTGTTCTTTGACACGTTTTTAAAAAGTCGCTTTTCTCTTTGATTACTGGACCAATTGCTTTGAAATTTTCAGTGGTTAAAGATTAAAAATTTTCTTCAAAAGGCTATTACTTTTTTTTTGCTATGACGTCATCAAAATTATTGCCATTAGGTGGCGCTACGTGTCCATATATTTGAGCATAGCTCTCTTGTATTATTGGCTGCCTGTTTTCGGAGCTTTGTTCAGAACAGTGAAAGGAACTAAAAATGCAATTCACACCTGCCTGTGTGAAAATTATTAAACATATTTGCATTTTGAAGGATCCAGTCTTGATTCCATTACCTAACCAACTAGAAATACGTAAAAGAAGAAAAAGTGAAGGAGGCCGACTACTGGAGACATCGTACCCTTCGGAACCAGAAGTAAGAATAAAATCTTCTTTTTTATCCTGGGAGAAAAAAGATGATTAGACGTCTTAATCATATGGCTTACCAAAGTCGCTCTACCGATTACCAGTCCATGTTGGGTATCGGATTATGCCAGTGGTTCTCAGCCTGTGGTACGCGGGAGCTTTTCAAGTGTTACGCAGGCAGCTATGAATTTTTTGCAACAATAAACATTTGAGTTGGCTAAAATATGGCGGCAACACTTTCTCTTTATATTCTATATTGCATGAGTTTCAGTTCTCGCCTTTGGGGATCGCCCTCACCCGCCACTGCCCACCTGGAACGAAAGCATATAATTGATACGTTAAAACTTTGCCAGTGGTTATAATTTGTACCTGCAAAATATGGATGTAGTGCCACATTACAAAATACTCCCATAGCGCGTTTCTTGTGTCATTGTTCAGATAAAAAAGCGGCTGTTTCGGTGGTACGCGGCCAGAAAAAAAACTTGAAAGTGGTTCGCAGTCAGTAAAAGGTTGAGAATCACTGGAGTATGCCGACAGGGAGCCCCATAATCCTCTTGACATAACCATCGCCCACTGGATGATAACCTGCGAATTCTGTTATCGTTTGTGTAAACTTGTTTCTAGCGCAATGTTGTTGAATTATTTAATAAACCTTGGCACTAATAAAAATCACTAAGACAGATTTAGTATTAAATTAATATAAATGTTCAATTCATTCTAATGTGCGAACAGATAGTGACCTAAAGCAGGACACCAAACAAACTATGCGATTATCTTAAAGGATTAAAGCTGTGATAGTGTAATTGTTTATGTGGTCTCAATTTTGATAATTTTCTCTTATTAAGAATCATTAGGCTTAATGACAAGTCTTCATTAAATGGACCGTCGGGTAGATAGCTATGAGAAATTACTTCTATTTTTTAATCTTTCCCTCCAGAGCTTCCGAGGTCCAGTTATTTCACCTCTAACCTTTTTAATTTTAAAAACTCACACCATGTCAGGGTGTCACTTATCATTTGGATTTTCCGTCAGCGCTCCTATTAATTGATATGGAGGTAACTAATTTTGTTCGCCTATTTTACATCGAGTTGTGTAAAGAAACTGAAACCTATGGAAAGAGGGAATATTCACTTGGCTAACACAGATAGTCTACGAACTTGTAATAGAACTAAAATAAGGAAAATCAGAATCAAATTATGGCCTAACCCTAACCTGGTACACACACTACAGGAGTACCTTACCATCTATATCAGTTCTGTATACTTGTTGATATCTTGTTATTGAACATTTTCAGATTATTCAATTTATTTTGGTTCATTCATGTTTCCAAAGAAAAAAGAAGTCAGATTTAGATTGATAAAAATGTCAATAATGTTATTTTTGTTAATTTTTTTCTATATAAGGTATTGAAAAAGAAGAGACCCAAAGTTTCTTTCGATGAATTTGATTTCAATTTGAAAGATGAAGAAAATGATTTTATAAGTGTCAAAAAGAAAGGTAAAGCTATGAGTTTTTCATGTCAATAAAGCTAATCTTTCATGTCAATAAAGAAGATGTTTCGAATTTTTTTTATAAAAACTGTATAACTGGACTGGATTCAACAATTCAATAATTTTGTTTTAAAAAATACCATATCTTCAATTTTTTTTTTTTGCAGGGAAAGATAAAAAATCGAAACGCAAGAAGAAAGCAAGGTTATTCGATTCTTTCTCTGATGCTGCTTCTGGTGAGTTAACTTGTTGCCGTATAGCAGCGTTTCTCAAACTTTTTTTCCCCGGAACGCCTACACTTTTTATCTTGGTAGTTAGAATAACCGGGAATTTTGCGGTTTGACCTTGTCGATCCAATTTTTGGACCTCCAGAAGTATGCGCACCAAGATGGCGCACAACCTGAACACAGTATGTGTGTACAGGTTAGGATTCAGGTTGTGCGACATCTTGGTGCGCATACTTCTGGAGCACCCAATTTTTTTCCACCAAGGATGAGGCAATGTTTGTTTTAATTGAATCTGAGATATGCAAACACAACAGGGGCTTTGCTTGGTGAGGGATGGGGTTAAGGGTCGACACCCTTAATTTTCTGTATCATACACAACACTTTTCATAGCTAGAAGGCATTTTAGAACCTTAAGGCTCTTGAAGACCGGCCCATGCTAGCTGTTTCAGTCTAACTTGGTAATTAGAATTTTCAGACCTTATTCGAAAAATCCTTGAAAGGCGTGCCCCTGCCCCTGCACCACAACATGGTCAGATTCATTACCTTTTATCACTAGGATACCACGCCCACCTATTCCCTATTACTGATCTTGAAACACTATAATTTCTCCATTCAGCTGCCAGCTCTGACATGAGTTGGGTCAAAGAACATATAAAGAAGATCCAGAATAAAGAATCTCCAAAACCTATTAAGACTTATCTGATGAAAAACAAGAACAACACTTCACCACTCAATCTACCAGCACTGGATTCATTAACCAACTATAACATGCAGGTTTGTACTCAGTGTGCCCTTGTGATAAAAAAAATATTTTTAATTTTTCTCGAACTTTTGTTATGTGGGATTTATTACCTCATGACTGCTTTTTTGATACTAACTTGGTAACTGCATCAATCCTCATGTCAACTGCCATTTGCTGGTATGTAATGCTCTTTCCTTACGAACTTCGAACCAGGGCTACTCAACTGGCGGTCCGAATCTGCCCCTTTCGAGTATTTGATTCGGACCGCATCTAATTCTTTAGTTTGGAACATTAGCCCCACTTTTGAAGTTCCCTTTTATAAAATGACTTTTATAGTTTTGAATATATATGAAAAGAACTATAACACCATAATAAACAATCTTGATTAGCTTATAATCATTAGTCGGTCGAGGAAGTGTGCAAACAAGGATGCCGAAATATATTTTCTGGAAAGACCGGACCCAAATAATTTTGAAGTTTTGTATGCAGATCTTTGTTGAAAATAGTTGAGTAGCCCTGCTATGAACCATCGCATAGTTTCTTCATGACAGCATACTTAATACCGTTAATTCTCCCATATTTTAGGATATTTCAACCTCGTCCTCCAACCAATCTGCCAGTAGCCCTGAAGTTGTGAGACCAGAAGTTACAAATGTGAGTACTGTTGGTCATACTTTATCATCTTCTCTGGACTTTTTTGCTCTTAGTATCGAATCGTCGAAGCATCGGAATGGCACATACGAATGGCCTGGTAGTTAAAGAGCTTTATTGAGAATATGCTATCTTCGCACTTTTGATTTTCTTTGACTTTTTCTCTCATTTTTGTCTCAATAAATGTTGTCCCACATTTGTCCCAATTGTATGAATCCTACCTCATGCAGTTACTCGAATCATTTGCCCTCAAAATGTTGAAAAATTTTTCAATTGCAAAGTGAATTAAAGTTACCTAATATTGTTTTGGCCCTCACAGATGTATTAAATGAATTAAAAATACTTAAACAATTACTGATTAAAAAACAACAAACCTGGTTAAGATATATTGGGAACTGACTTCATAACAAAATTGAAATTGTAGAGGAACTTTATGTACCTGTATATCTATAATATATCCGTGATTTGGTATGGGTGTTTACTTTATTTGACAATGTTTTTATTATACATTTCTTTCTATGTGACAGACCTCCTTGATGAGTGGAATAGCAAAGATGCAAAGCTTTGCAAAAGCATGTAATCTTACTTTTGAAGACATCGTTGGGAACAAAATGAATGATCCACCGCCTCTCAGCAAACCAGATGAGGTATGAATATGAAGATTCTAAATCAGCAGGGGTTGCCCTGCTAAGCGTTAAGAATATACTTGCCATCACACCTCTTATTACCTTTTTGAGTTAATATGAGAGGATTGCTGGACTACCTTTCGCTGTAAGGTGGTTCACATAACTGCTGGTCAGTTATGGCTTCATACACCATCACATCCACGCATCTGAAACTAATAACTGACTGCTAATCCCATACTCGAGATGGACTGGTTACCGGATGAGAGATGTCGTTCGCCATTTGATCAAGCATCTTACTGGCTTTCTTCTTCTCCGGGATAAATATGGAAATCCTATCATTATATGTTTCACATTTGTTGTTCTAGCTATAGTAACTATATCGCAGCAATGAAACCCTAGTATCAATATGTCATATTTTTTAGATATGACTTTATTTGATACTTGTTTTAGTTTTGATTTTGGATTGTGCTTCATGTGCATTTTGGGTTTGGATGTACAGATCTGAATATTACAAAAATGATATTTCTTCAAAACCTTAAAATGTAACAAGCTAATTCAATTGATTTGATACTGAGGTCATATATGCCACAAGTTATTTGCTTTTAAAAGCTAATTTGATTGATTGATACAGAGGTCCTATATGCCGAAAGTTGTTGCTTTAGCGATGTGAGATTCGTTACAACCGTCTTTTCAAATCTCATGACAATAAGGATTGGTTGGCACACAGGGGGGCCTCTGATGACTAATGGCTGACTCTAATGACCGTATAGTCATATCGCTCTCCCAGTCTATACCAAAAAACTTTGCGTATGTTGTTGTATATTTTTATTATTGTTGGAATGCTTATTTCTTTTTCTGGTTGACTAGAAATAAATCTCTCTGTAAGGCGCTTATATTCTGTACCAAGACACTTTAATATTATTTCAGGTTAGTCCATTGGATTTGGAAGAATTTAACTTTGACCCATTACCTGACTTCGGTACTTTGACAAAAGCAACAAAAGAAAAAGCTAAAAAAGTGAGTTTTTTTATTAGTTGTAAAAGCTGTATGCTATTACTCAACCTTCTGTGCCTCTATGCACTCAATGAAATTATTTTTGATATTTCATGTTAGTTAGACTATAGTGACATAACATTATAGGTTAGTATAGGAGTATAGGATATATTAGGTTCTCTGCGCATGGTTAATTAGCCTCACTTAGCTAGCAGCCAACCACATGACATTTGCTGCAAGCTGACCAGTCAGTCATTAGACGATGTTGCATGATGGCTTCGTAGTGACAGTGCTGGTGTTACATTTATCACCGCCGATTTACCAGGGACTCAGGGAAGATTTTCGTCTTCCATATCTAGAGCCATAGACAAAAAAAAGATCACACTATCTACAAACACGCTTGGACTTCTTATAATTGGAAAACAATTATGTTTTACAGCATGACATGGATACTGAATCTAATATTGAAGAACCACAGATTTCACCTCTCAAGCTGAATGCTCTCATCAATGAAGGACCAGGGGTGAGACATATTGTTATATAAAATAGATCAGGGTTTCCCAAACTGTGGTCGGCAACGCTGACTGCACAAGGGGTCCGCAACGCTGGTCGGTGACTGGTTTCAATCAAAAATCCATTGCAACCCTTTGTTTAGGTGTTGCGGACGAATATCCATTTCTGTCAGAAAAGGGAATTAAAATTTAGCTTTAGCAATGACCTACATGTGTGATGCAGCATTTTCAGGTCTTACCAATATGCTGACAAAATACAGGTCGAGACTTGCCGTGGATGGGATCTATGAGTTTGCTTGTCACAAATCGATAAATTGTTCATTGAAAAGCAACCCTATCCATCACATTAATTGGTTAGACATAGAAATTGATACAACATAGGATGATGAACAGTCAAAACTGAGATTCACAAATAAGGGTCCGCGACCCGAAAAGTTAGGGAAACTCTGGAATAGAAAGTTCAAAGCCACCAAGCAGGCAACAGAGAAGTTTAAGGAGAGGTCGCAATGCTAGGCGCCAAAATGTTTTTACTTTTCCACTAAAAGTATTCATAAGGTTATTGCAAAGGATGTTTTCACTTTGTTAATCATGAATTGTTGGAACATGATGGAATTTAAAATCTACTAATTAAAATAACTCCATGAGTGCTAAAAGCCTCTGGAAGGGGGTCACGGGCCATAAAAGGTTGAAAACCACTGTCATAGAACTATGCGATTCTTAAGAGTGATTGTTGTGCAGGATAAAGTAAGTAAAACTTGATGCTTCTCAGGATATTGGTGAAACTTTCATGAGCCGTGAATATGAAAATGAAGTTGGTGAAAATTTCGTGAATCAAGAATCACCAGATGAGAATTATGTGAGCAAAGATGAATTTTCTGATGAACTAAGTGAAATTTACTTGGACAGAATGAAATCTCATCGGCGACGCAGGGATAATGAAAATGATGATGGAGAAACACCATGGCATAAGAAAGGGGTAAATACAATTTGTCAATTCTCAAACTTTTGGTTATTGAGCCTGCGAAAAGGTTAAATATTTTTGGCAGCGCCCCACAATAAATTTGCCCACAAATTTGACACTTGACAAACATATTAATGAAGTAGTGTCAAAATATGGCAACAAGGCAGTAACTGAATTATGACATTATCTATTTGAACTAATTAGAAAAAACGCTACAATTGTTTAATTTTATTAATTTCATCATTGGTTCTTTGGACAGTTATAAAAATTAGCCAAGTCAGTATTTTAATAAGTAAAAGAATAGCTTGCAAAGGTTTCTCTTGCGGTTTGGTGATGTTTACCCAATTTATTACAGTTTTAAATTACTCAAAGCCTGACTGAATTTTTGGTCGAGCAATAAATAAAGCTCTCTTTTCTCAGGTCAAATATGAAAATTCCTAATATTATTGACTTTTTCATTATAGAATACACTCAAACCTTTCAAAGTTCATGAACTTGCGAGACTTAACAACAACACTCCTTCAGAATCTTCTGTTGGAATGACAATCAGAGAGAATAATAAAAAGAAACCAACAAAGAGAAAGATATCCTTTTTCTTTATTTTTTCAGTTCTACTCAGAGGTTCTCAATTACTGTATGGACTTTAAGTTGGTGTAAAGTACCGCTCTTATTTTATATTGTGTTATACTGAGTCTTAGGCCAAAGGTCTTGTGCATGTAATGATGTACCGTATGTCTAAGTCAGTGGTGACCACCATACCAATTGCAAAACTGATTTTACTTTTACTAAAAAAAACTCCCTGTTCTTTCCAGTTTCATTGCTTGATAAGGTTATTTACCAGGCTGTTTCACTTTGTTGAGCATGAGTTGTTTAAACATAATGAGATTTGAAAACTGCCAATCATAATAACATTATAAATACCACAAGAATGATGAACGGGGCCATGAGTGCTGGAAGGTACCTTTTTGTGACTGATCTGAAAATCTGTCAAACTCGGGTATCAACAAGCACCTTAGGGTTTTTTTGTGTTGTTACCATCTTTAGCAGCCATTATATACATGCTCGCTTGTTAGAGCATTTAAACGTGATAAATTTCTCATAAAAATCTTTGTATTTTTTATTCAATTTCCCAAGTATTTTCTTAACTATTTGCTTCATCACATAGAACCAAGGTCTTCCCCAGTGAATGCTTTTGATGCTTCCAACTATAAAAGTAAGAAGAAACTCAACATGAGGTCAGTGTTTAACTTATGAATGGAATTTCGTGCTTATCGCGCACAATGCGTGATTGGGGTAAACCACAGCTCTTGTCTGATTACTAGTTCAGGTCATATATGGAGTAGTAAATCATTTAAATATACCAGATCAGGGGTGTGTAACAGGCAGCCTGCCGGCCCGTCAAGCCATTTTACTCATCAAGCACTGCTAGGCCCCTAATTGTGTGAAGTAAATCTCTTACTTACTCCAATCCATTGCCCACATTTTCACATCTATCCAGAATATGCTTGTATGTGTGTCAAGGCATCTGCATGAAAATTTGTTTTAAGAAAGTTGCAGTTTATCATAGGTTTATCATAGTTTATCACAGTTTATATCACATATCACAGTTTATCATAGGAGCTGTCATGTCAGCTTTCCCTTTCTTATTACATGGATGACTATCTTTGATATGTACTTAGTGTAATTTATTTTATCATCCACAGGTTAGAGCAGGCATCTTCACGTCAGACGGATTCCAGCAATCTAAGCTTGAATGCAAGTGGGAGATCTGACTGGTTGTCCAAGCGAATGATAAGGAAGATGGGAAAGTATATCAGGGATGTAAACAATACTTGGAATATGGGAGACTCTGTCAGGTATATTTGTTTATGTTTATTCACCTAAAACAAGCAGCCATGAGGTACGAATTGTTGCTCCTTATCGAGAACTAGAGACGCGTAAATTTGAAGCAGCTTGATCATTTTTTGATCAATCCGATTGAATTCTAAATAAATATCAAGTCCATGCTTTTGAGAACAAGAGAGCAATGCTCAAATATATGGACACGTAGCGCCACCCAGTGGCAATAATTTTGATGACGTCATAGCGAAAAAAAAAAAAGTAATAGCCTTCTGGAGTGAAATTTTATCTTTAACCACTGAAAATATCAAAGCAATTGGTCCAGTATTCGAAGAGAAAAGCGATGTTTAAAAAATGGAGACAGAGACAAATAACAATAACAACAAAATTTTGAAACGATCGTTATGGCCACTAAACGTGTCCAATAAATAACTGAACTGATCCCATACCTGACTGGTAACTGTACGATAGGTCGTGGTTCGCCATGCAATTGAGCCATCCTATCGGCTTTACTCTCCACCGATATAAATATGTAAATCCTTATTAACAAAATTGTTCACAGAAATGAAGGACTTGAGGTTTTTAAGACCGAAGTATCAGAATGCGAACAAAAGCACAACATGTTAATGAAAGAGATGAAAGAACTGCAATCTCGGCAGTTTTCATTCATTCAAAAATTCAATGGAAAAGTAGAAAAAGTGATGGATAAAGCAGCTAAAAAGTGAGTTGTTTTTATGGTTAGAATATGGATATTTGTCACTACAAAATTCTGCCTTGTAGTTTTGGATTCCATTTCCATGTAGTAGAAAGATTGTGATGGATACAAACAAAATACCGATTGGCCAGATACTACTAATCCACTAAAACATGGGTTCCCAACCATTTTTTAAATTTGTCTTTTTCAGAACTCTTTATTTCTCTCTCTTTATTTCCCCTTTGGGGGGAGGTGATAGATAACAAACAAACGAGAATATCGGTCGGAGACCGAAGGGTTATTGATCGAAACTGCGGTTTTGATTCATGACTCTATAGTGACACTGCGTGTCCCATCACTAATTAATTAATAACTCGCTGATTATACGACATAATTTATTTAAAATCAATAGGCTTCTGGTCCGAGATATGATGAATGCACATGCAAAATCAACCACGCGTTCGTGAGATATCGCGTGCATCTAACAGACAAACCGACAAATACCTATCAACACACTTACCAATCTAAAGATCGATAAGTAACTACCAATTGGCCACAATAGTTCTCAACCTTTTTTGATAAATTTTTCTTTCCCGAATCTCTATATGCCCCCACTATGCTTAAAAACTCTTTTCCCGTTATCCTATTAATCCTTGCAGGGGTGGGCTATTACTTTTTTAGTGGGTCAGTTACAGATAATAGACTTGGTTACTGGGCCGGAGGGTCAAAACTCAATGTGAGGAACTATGAATAAAAAAGTTTATTTTTATATAACAATAAGTAACAAGCGGGGTCATCATTGACGGAATTATCAGATCGGTAAGTATGTTGATAGGTATTTGTCTGTCTGTCTGTTAGATGCACTCGATATCTCACGAAGGCGTGGTTGAATCTGCTCCAAATTTTGCATGTGCATTCATCATATCTCGAACCAGAAGCCTATCGATTTTGGAGGAATTATGTCATATAATTAGCGAGTTATTAATTAATTAGTAATGGGACAAGCGATGTCACTATAGAATCATGAATCGAAACGGCAATTTCGATTGGTAAGTCTTTGGTCTCCGACCGATATTCTCGTTCATATTTTCAACGGAAATTTATATCCATAAAACTATAACTTTTGCAGACACAAATGGGCAGGATCCTGCGGGCATCATTAGCCTACCCCTGCTATATCGCGATACATGCAACTTTTGCGCAGTTTAAGTACCGGTAGTTTGAAATGTGCCCACAGATATAACAATGTTAGTTTCAAAACTACGCCAAATACAAAGTACCGTAATATTTACTTCCCCATAGTGTTAAAAGTCACTGTCTTCGAGTAAGATGTTATTTTTTATATAACATTTATGACCGTTATATTTTACCTTCTCAGCATCTCCCACATTTTTTGGCTTCGTCCTGTATTTATTCATTTATTATGTGTTTTTTACATGGATCTTAAGATTTAACAGTAAATACAAATTGGATATATTTCATAAATTCTTTATGATTATATATTTAAATTTATAACATGTTCTGTTAATAATGTAGCTTAGGTAGTAAATAGTAAAAATGGTGTTTATGTTGTCATTCGTTACGTTTTTGTTTTGTTATCCGGCACGGTTTTCTGAAATGAGAAACCCTTTATTGGTTATTCCGATTCAGAGAATCCATTGTTAAATTTTGAATCTGACCACAAGGTAAAAGTGTGTTTTATCTTTTCAGCATTATGGAGGTGAAGTCGAGACATTCTGATTTTCTGAGGAAACTTCATCAAACGACAGAAATACAAAAAGATGCCATGGAAGAACTCAGAAGCAAAATATCGAAAGAGTTAAGAGAAATCATATTACAAAGCAAAGTATGAGAAAAGCGAGCAGGGATTGAACGTATTTGAGTATATTTCGCTCTTTAAGTGTAGTAATAACAGTCTCAGATCGAAATTTTCCTCCTAAAGATTTGACATATAACTTTTAAAACAGCGATTTCATTTAGCATGTGTGAATACATAGAAATCATTCATACCAAAGCTTCATCTTAATTATTCTCTATGTACCATTTCGACCATCAAATTCTGAATTCACAATTTGTGCAAACCTATTGCTACTGACCTTTTTCTTTCAATTTCTCTGCCCTTAATGCTCCACGCTCATCAGAATACATATGGAAAGGTTTTGGTTCCGTACGTGGTTTGACCTTTTTTGGTGGCAGTGCTTTTACTGGATCAATTGTTTGATATATTGGAGTAGCACGAAATGAACTTGCGATCTGTAGATGAGTAGGAATTACTTTACATTAGAGATAATTCAAAGTAGTTTCGTTTGTAAATTTATCGACTGAACCTTTGACCGAAAAAATCAACTACTTCATTGTCGGACACTCTAAAAAATAGCAACTACTAGCAATTTTTACTATTCCTCTTACACCAATTACAATCTGAACGAGACGTCTTTATACTCATTTTGCTCATAACAAGGTACAAGCAGCTACAACTCCAATACAGAATAAACTCTTCAAAACATCATGTAATCTTACCGCGGAATATTGTTGAAATAATAACAATTCTCTCAATTATTTTGGTTTGTTTTGTTCTTTTTGTTTCGCATTCAATTTTTCGGTACTCCTGAAGTGTGCGCACGAAGATGTGGCACAACCTGAACCCCAACCTGGTACACAACCTGAGTTCAGGTTGTGCGCCATCTTGGTGTGCATATTTCAGGAGGTCCAATTTTTCTTTGTTTTTGTGCAATTTTTGGTGTTTTTTTTCACAATGAATTGAAGTTTTTTTAGCCTAGCATATATATTGTTAGTAAATTTTTTTTTCACAATTGTGTTCGTTTCAACACTGTTTGTTTTTTGATAAAACTTTATATGAATTAAGCGTGTACTGATTGTGATAATAGCATTTCCGACTGCAGCCTATTCCGCGAACCGAGCCATGTACACATGGACATAGTTTATTTTGCTATCGCCGACAAAGGAACACAAATATTAGGGATAGGATAAGATTCACATAATTATCCCGAAGGAGGAAGGTCGACAAGTCTGATTAATCATGTGACGTACCACGACTAGGGCTGGGAATTTTGGGGAAAACACTTTGACCGTTAACCGGGTAAAATTAACCGGTTAACCGCCGCGTGACGTTTGACGTAATAATTATAATTTCAGCTTGTTACGTCACAGTGGTTATAAAGCAATTTCGCGTATTCTCATCCCGGTATCGCTCAAAATTATTCACGAATCGAGATAGTTTCATGATTCCTCTGCTGCAAAAGATAGGCAGCGTGGTTCGCGCATGTGGAAATATTTTAGAATACCTGATTCCGTTGTTAAACGTCATTTATGTGACAAATTTTGAGTGTTCTATGTGCAAATTCTACCTCGAGGTATATATCGTAAAGAAAAACGGCATCAACTGCACACTTGTTGTATGACATTGAATATCCGATTTTGCAATGAAATCGTGAACAATATTTCAGCCCCAACCACGACCTTCTTCCTGATTACTTGTTCGTGTCTTGTATGGGAATAGTCGGCCAGTTATTTTCAGTTTCACATGCATGTACTTTATGGTAGAAGAAGTGAACCACTCTATTGCGACGAGGATTCCAACAATTCTCTCGCGCGAAATCATTGCTCACGGAATTCGAACCAGCGCAAGGCAAAAATAGGTGCGATGACAAGAGGAACAGTGTGCAGGGTGAAACTGTTAAATACAAAGAGAAAAATTAAATGCAAAAGAACAACATCAATAAATTTAATGTGATATTTGCGTCTGCTTTGATGAACACAGTCGTTGAATATTAGGTTCAAATTTCGAAAGAGCAACTCGAAGCTCTCTATCAATATCTCTCAAGCAGGAACGTTTGTCATTTTTGATCAATACGAGAGAAGAAAAGCTTTGTTCGCACAAATAAGTCGTGAAAAATTGGAGCGGAGTTTCGATAGCTGCCTTGGCAATTAGTTTGTATCTCCAAGTGACATCTCGCTGAATTTCAATTCGAGAGTTCTGTCATTTCGTAACTCAAGAAATGATTCCCTCTCTGAATGGCAAAGAAAGCTCTTCTGTGGAAATTTCAGCACTGGGTGAAAAAGGATTTCGGATCCAATCATATCGTTGTGTGTTGATTGTAAAAAGTGACAGTCATACTTCTGCTGCAACAAAGACAAGTGTTCTTGAGACAAATCCACTATGTCTGTCAACATCGCTTATATCATTATTGCTTCCTGGAAACATTTCCAGCGATCCTCGCCCCAACTCGGTTTTCCATAGTGCTACTTTCTGTTTAAATCCAGTCAACTTGTCAGAACACGATAGTATATTTTCTTCCCTGCCTTGCATTTTGATGTTGAGTTTATTTAAGTGTTCACCGCCATGTATGCAAGTTTTGCAACCCAATAATTGTCTTCGAGGTGCTTAAGCAAATCGTGGTTGTTCTGACTTAATAAAAACTGGCTCACTTCATGCCTAAGTTCAAAGAGTCTTGCGAGAACGTTTCCCCGAGAAAGCCAACGTACAAGCGTATAGTACAATAATGACTGATGCTCTGAACCCATTTCTTCGCATAATGCCAAAAAATACGTGAATTCGAAGCTCTCCCTTTAATGAAGTTCACAATGTCAATGCAGGTTTTTATCGCTTTGGACGGTTCCTCTGGCAGCACTTTGGTCATCAAAGCTTCTCTATGTATGCAGCAATGCGTAACTTGAATGGCAGGATTTTGCTGTTTCGCCAACGTAGCAAAACCTTTACCTTTGCCCAACATTGCTGAAGCACCATCTGTGCAAAGGTTGATGCAATCACTCCAGTAGATACCGTTGGCAGTAAAAAACTCGTTTGTCACGCGAAAAATGTCCTGCCCAGTTGTTCGCTCTGGAAGTTCTATGCAAAACAAATACTCTTCTGCAATAGCATTGTCGTCGACAAATCGTACAACAGCCAATAGCTGTGCTTGCTTTTTGATGTCCGTTGTTTCGTCGATTTGAAGGGAAAATTTTCCAAATGTTTTTAGTTTATTTAGTAGCGTTTCAAGCAGATCTTCAGACATATGGCCAATGCGCCTTTTAATAGTCTCGGCGGACAACGACACTTTTCTAACTTCTTCAGCTTCCTTCTGTCCAAGCATTAATCCGACAACTTCTAGGCAGGCTGGTTTCATGAGTTCTTCTCCGAAATTATGTGGCTTCTGTCGAGCAATTAATTTGGCAACGTGATAGCTAGCTTCTACTGCTTTTTCCGAGACTGTGAAAGTTGATTTCATAAAGTGCTTTTGCTTTTTATTTTGACTCAATATTCGTTGAAAGAAATCCTTATTCTTGCCAGAATAAGTGGAATGTTTTGTTTTTAAATGCCCAATAAGTTTGCTTGGAACCATTGCTTGATTAGCAAGTTGTTCTCCACAAAGTACGTAATGTGGGCACTAAGTAAATCCATATTGAATGTTGTCTTTAGTGTATTTTCTTTTGTGTTTTTGCAGTATCACTTGCTGAAGTAGGTAAACTATCTGGTGGTCGCACTGCTCTCTTTAAAAATTTATTCATTCTGTTAGGGTTCGGGTTTTGTTAAACGCAGAAATATGTATTGGGCGCTAATTTACTATAATGGACCCTCGTAAAAAATCACATGTAAATTTTCGGATGCTCCTAATAATCATAGGGGGCATTTCGAAAATTTTAAGTGTGTTTTTTACAAGGGTCCATTATAGTAAATTAGCGCCATGTATTGTGACTTTAGATACACAACAATACCGGTATTATAAAAATTGCGCAACTGAACTGGGAGGCTAATACTTCGATTGATAAAATTTATTGGTGTGAACAGACATAAAAGCTCAAAATTCTCAAACAATAAAAAGTGTCTTACATTTCTAAAAAATACCGCGTCATCCTTAACACAGCTTCGCGGCACCCCGGTTGCGGAGCTCTAATCTAATAAGATCCAGTAGGAAAAATTTTCTTGCATGCTTTTTCATGGATTATGACATTGGCTTCAATACAACAGCAAGTAGACGTTAAAACGGTACGTAAAGATTACTAACCGGTACATCGAAAATCCTTTCTACCGTAAATGAGATGGACTTATCAAACAATCCGCTGTATGGCACTCTGAATCCACTGGAACAATGGAATAAGAATGTAAAGTTTATTTGCTTGTCCGCTAGAATACGCTGTTCGCACGGTAGTCTCAATATATTCTAGAGTGCATCAATGATGGTGCACTGTTGCGAGTTTAAATATTTGTGAACATCACTTTGCGCATTTACTTGTTTGTTTGCTTTTTTTATAAAATCCCAAGTGTTTGAAATTGTATGAACATGTCTAAATTATGATGCAGCATACAAAGTATCAGTTTACATGCTTTGATGCACTATTCGTACGAGTTAAACATGCAAGCATTTTTCTACTTATGGTGGTGTCCAGAATAAGTTTGGTGATATTTTTACCCTTGAACCGAGGAAATTAAGATAGTTTAAAAAGATAGGCATTGCGACCGAGATGTGGAAATATATAAAATAAAAATTTAGAACCCCTCTGATCTCCTGAAAAACGGGATCTTATTTTTCCATGATTTGCGCATATCTCGTGGGAGAAATAGAAACTTATTTTTTATTTTTTTATATATATATATAGGGTGTCCAAAAAGTTTCGCCCGATTTCAAAGCAATACCAATTGCAAATTTGAATAAATTTTGTTGTATGTTAGATGGGGACTACAAAACCCAATATCATTAACATCCAATTGTATACAAGTTGACTATAAAAAAAAATTATAATTGAAAAAAATTACATTTGATTATAAAGACTTAATCGGGCGAAACTTTTTGGACACCCTGTACATATATATATATATATATGTATATATCTCCATTTTACTGCTGCGTTCCGATAGAGTTGTGATGTCTCCAAATGAACCAAAGATGAAAAATGCTTCGGATGATCAGAAAGAGTCCAACGGTCCAGTTGACTCCACGAGTGATGTTGTTCTACTTTTGTGATTGTTTAGGATCAAATAACCGTGTTCGTACGTTGACACCTTCTCAAGTTTCGTTTTATTGTGGTTGTTATGGCTCGTTGAAACGACCTATGGTACTCTCACTGGAGGTCTGATTTGTATTCCTCAAAGGCACAACAGGGGGGATTTGGGAATCTGTGTATAAGTTGAGAAACAAACTAACAAATTTATTTATAGGATCAAGATCAATATACATGTATTTGTATTGTTTTGACGAGAAATTGTCACGACACTATATTAGATACGTCTTGACCAAACGCAAAGATTAAGACAACAGCACACCAACTTCAACGTGCTTATGTCATATATACCTAATTGTTGAGACTTTAGATCCTTTTTCGAAGCAAGAATATATATCGTGCAAGATGTAATTTGGTCTGTAATATGTCATCTTTTTGTTAGCAGTTTACATAGCGCATCTTTAAATTGAATACATACAATACAAAAGATTTATTTTAGAGATATATACATTTATGTAACCCCAAGCCGCTCCCGAGTTGCATGCAATTCAGATGAATGTTTCTTGCTGGGTTTTACTTTTTGTGCAGTCTTATAGTAGGCAATGTCGATAGATTTCAATACTTGATTTCATACCCGATAATGCTGTAAATTTATTTATCTACGTTAGGTCGCAAATTCCAACACAACAAAGAGCGATACACAATGTCTTTTGAGGTTTTCGTTAATTGCGTTTCACATTTCTCATCAAATTACATTACGTCATTCCATTCCCCGAGTGAAAAGTGTTGGGAATGCGAAGTACTCTTGTTTTAATACACAATTGCCGACGCTCTTTCCAAAGACTATCGTAAAAGGTGTAATATTAAGTAGGGTGTCATAGTAATGCTAAAACATGTAGTTGGATATTTTTATATATTTTTTTTATATTCGAATGTAGTATGGGACCTTTAGTCCCCGCCCTTAATACGAAAATGTGAGGTTTGAGAAAAACACTCTCGTCACGATTTTAAATAACAAGGTAGTAATTATCCAATTGAAGTTCGGAATGATTTAAAAATTGGAATTTCCAGTGCAATTGTTTACCCTAACTGGATAATTACTTATTTTGTGTTTGGCGGGACAAAAGATTCATTATCTGCACCCCAATCGAATTTGCAGAATCTATATTAATTTTACAGATTTAACGTCAAACGTAACGTTAACTGTGATTGGTCAAATCGGCTTCCACAACGCCTACTTCATTGTTTCAAACACGGAATAAACTCGCAAATGGGGCTGGACAATATGCTTTGCCCTAAACAATTCCTGAAGTTTAACGTCTATCTTGCCCCCGAACACATATATATATATAATGAATAATATTGATTTGAAGAGCTATGTTTAAGATAAGTTTGATCTGCGAAAGGTTTTCCAAGTTAGACGAACTTGGATACTTCAATTGTAGAGAAATAGTTATATTAGGGATATGTTATTAGAGGGATATGTTTCAATTCGCGACAAAAATGTCTTCGCTATAGTATTTGAAAAGTGCCAAACCGTGACATATGTTGCCACTACCTTACGAATTAATTGCAACAAAAACAACGCTTTGGAATTGTTTATATTAACGTTCCGAAAGTTTTATATTTATTGAAATAACTAGATCTCTTCTTTATATTACTTGTATGCTTGTTTTGTTCGAGTAAAGTCTTACTTTGAAATATTTCTGGCGAAAGGTAACCTGACACCCGTTACAACGATTAAACAAAATGAAAGTAAATAAACGACGTAATGTTTATGTGATCCGACGCAGTAAAACCTAACAATTGTCAGTAAAATCCAACTCATTTACAAGGGGTATATGAGAACCTTTTATCTGTGAAAGATACTGGAAACAAAATGATCAATATAAATGAAAGGGGCTATAGATAAAATAAATGTCATCACATGGGGCGCAGCCCTTTTGAAAAGAAAAGAGGAGCACATTTCTGTATCATACATAGCGACTTTTCATAACTGGAGATTCTTTTTAGTCCCTCTAGACTAGAGTTTTTAGACCAGACGTAGGCAAAGAACGACCCGCGAGCCAAATCCGGCCCGTTGGGTAATTCAATCTTGCCCGCCGGATGCTGCCACAACCCAGCTGAAACCATATTATAATGTTTTTGCTAAAAATATCTCCTGAAATCTGTCGGGATTTCGGTTAAATTTAGTTTTGTCACGAGGCATATTGTTTTCCATCTTTGCTTTCACTGTCATTATTGTTCATAAAATTAACTTTATACGTCACAGTTACATGACCCGCCAGACTAGGTGGGTAAAATTTTCGGCCCCTGATCCAAAAACTTGAAATTCACGTTTCTCCTACCGCACCCGCTAGCTCGTACGATCTAACTTGATATTAGAAATTCCAGATCCCCTCTAGCCCCCCCCCCCCCCCCCCTAAAAAAAAAAAAAAGACCGTGCATCTGTCATTTCGACAAAAAGCGCCTCTATCCGGAAATAATAGACCAATTGCTTTCATATTTCAATAGTAGAAGTTTTTTAAAGCCCATTACCCCATAATCAGGTCTCCCGGGCTTTTAAAATATGGCTCATTGCTCCAAATACGGCAATATGTCCAGATTTGGTCATCGCTGCATCGTCTGCACGGTATTAGAAATGGTGCTGGATCGTAATGCTATTTGAAAAGCTTGACGGAAGGTGTTATGGCTCAAAGCACCCTGCGTTTTACTGTATACTAGTTTTTGCATATATTGGGTCAAAATTGAAACTTCTCAAGCAGTAGATTATAGTAAAATTTTCTTCATATATGGGTTACTGAAGGCCTCGAAAGTTGCCATGACCACGCAACCGAATTTTCTAGCAAAGCGTAATAAAACCTAATAACGGGTCGTCATAAATCAAACAAGATAGAATATAGAACTTACTTGAAATCTCGTTCATTTGACTAGTAGAACTAAAAAGCGCCTCTCGATACATCAAAAGATTCATTGAATTGTTTACATTCGTCACTTATTTATGGGTTTATTGACTTAAACTATTTCTTTGATAAACTAATTTGAGAGATTTGGTTTCAAGAGAAAGACTTATAGAGACGGTGTAGGTATAGGGATCCCTTCTATGTACAAAGATAACGCACTTCGCGCGCGGGCAACGCGGACACACTCACTCAAAATTAAATGTAACTCACTGGCAGTAGAGACTAAGGCTGGAATCGTATAGTAAATTATTCGAATCGACTCAGACAAAAATTTCGAATTGCGGCTATCTATTTTTGTCCGCCTAAGGTCGAGGTGAATCCCTAATTTTTTTAATGTCAAATTTTTAAAATGCGATTTTGACATATGATTCGTTTCTCCCGAGTGAGTTATTGACGAAACATGTTACTTACTGTGGGTGAACACTCACCAAACTGTGTGA